GCACAATATATAACCAAAAGACTTTTTAACAAGCAGCAATCTGCAGACCTTGAATCCGTTTCAAAGTCATCCTTGCACATAATGAATACTGTTGTAAATCTGTTCTTCAAATCAAAAATCAAAACAGTTATAGCAACCAACCTTGTGTTGTAGCTGTAACCGTTGCTGGTGGTATTGGCGTTGTCTCTAAAGTTACGATGGTTAGAATTAACATTCCACACATGCCATGTTGTTCCGAACGTGACACTCTACATATCTCAAACTACAAAGACTAGTTGCTACTGTAGCTGAAAGCAATATGGATTTGTGCGCTACAAAGGCAGGGTTCATGTCTAAATAGTCGTAATCTGAACATCTTGAACTACTGGTTACTTACGCTATGGATTCAAAAGTGTCAGCATCATCGTCACCCTCAACCTTATACATTAGAATCTTCAAATGGAATTTTCGTCTACCTAAGCTTATTTTTCCCACTGGTTCCGAAAACAGTTTGAAGAGCACAGAAATGCCAAAACGGGCTTTTCGAAAAGCCTCTAATCTTAATTTGCACGGGGTAAAAACGCAGTTTCGTTGTGGGACTCTACGTCTCAGCTGTGCGCGATATGTGCACTCCGCCTTATCCTCTTAAGGGATCGTTCAGACCGCGCACGAAGGCGCGCAAAGGCGCATAAAGGCGCACGAAGGCGTGTGTGAGTGTGTGTGTCGAGATAAATGAGACAAGACGAGACGCGCCTTCGTGCGCCTTTGTGCGCGGTCTGAACGATCCCTACGTTCTAGTTGACGGGGCGTTCCAATTGCCGTTTCTGAAGTGGGCTTCAAAAGCAGAGCAGTGCAATGTCAATTGGGCAAGCATTTTACCAGGACGGGCGCCATTGTATACATTTCCATATCTGTTCGGACGCTGCTTTTAAGGCTATCATTCAAAGTTTTTAGTCATCTGGAAGCAAAATTGAGGCAGTTTTTATTACTAACAAATTGCAGCTCATAAATTTCCTCCTACTAATTGACGTAGGAAGTTGCTCGATTAGATTCTTAACAAAATTCTGAAAAGGTGCGCTGCGTACAGTGGTCGAATGGGTAAGTGAGAGCTTGAGTTTATTCCACTAAGAAAAATTGCGTTTTGTCAGCGTTTCTAAAGTTTGTTCTCAAACCTCAGATTTTCTGCGCATGTCGTGACTCTCGCCGCTGAGACGACAAAAACTACAAGGTATTTGCGCTCTCATCAGTTTCATCGAATTCTTGTAACTTTTTCTTCTGCCTTGAGCATACAGGGCAGTACTACGTAGGATTTTAGGACTCGTAGTAATCCCTAAAGGTGGTGGTGGTGCCATTTGAAACAATGCCATTTGCCGTCATTAATTACCACGGCCATTGGGTTGAATCGACGGCTGTCGTGACCTTAGTATAGGTGCTCGTTTTCGTGCACGTAAGACAAGCTGGGCGACAAAGAAATTTAATCTGCCTAGCGTGGAGAAGCAGAAGGCGCACACTCAGCGAGCATGTTGAATTCATACGGTGCGCGGAGAAAGTACTTTTGATTCAACTGGATAGGCGGCTAGAAGGCGGCGCTTCGTGACTTAAGTAAGGCTAGAAAATGACCAGCGAGCACGCGCGAGAGATAGATGCAGAATGCGTCGCTGACGCTAGTGGCCTAATTAGGTCACAAACTCCGCCTTCCAACCGCCAATCCACTTGAATTAATGGTTAGAGGCAGTGGTCCGGCAAAATCAAACATCTTGAAATTTTGATATGGAAGCCATCGAGTTAGATGGCTTTTGCGGGAAAACGGACCGAAATATTTACGAATTTGTTTTTAGCTGCATTTTCATGGGGTTTTGACCTTCAAAATTGCTCTTTTTAACTGATTCCAAGGTAGCCAGATTGAGCAACCCATGCAACTCCTGTATATATTCCCTAAGATTTCATTAGTTTTTGAATGTTATAGAACACTTATTAAGTGCTTTTTAATGTCCATCTGACAATAAAAACTGCGCCTCTTGACATACATCCTGGAAAGTTGCTTCCATCCTAAACATCAGAAAGAGCAGATCCGAGCGCACTACGTGCTGCCCCTGCTTAGAAACCTACCCTTGAATCTGTGCGCGCAAGCCATTCTTACACGCGCTTGGACGAGCTTGCGATTCCCCTCTCAACGTCAGAGACGGCATGCCGCAATGCTTTAGCATGAGAGTTCCGCAACGACTCTGCGTCTCTAACCATGGCGGGGAGTGGTCCATACATCCATAATTCAAAATGAGAACCCTTGAAAAATGCTGGTTTTCAACATTTTCGTGCCCTATAAAATGTATTTTCGAAATCAACGCGCCAATTTACCTTAGGTAAACGAAAAGACTTCAGGTCGAGTATTTGCCGAGCCACTGCCTTTGAGCATACATTACTCGGGTTAAAGGAAGTGTCCCGGATTCGCGCTCCGGGGAATATGGCTTTGGTGGAGTTCCTGGACATCTCAGCAACCTCCAGGCGAAGTCCGGCTGGTTGATGTTCCCCTGGGTCGAGAAAATAGCCCTTGAACCGGCGCGCGCTCGGACGACTTCGCTTCCGTTCGGCACGGGACCCCACGACCGCTCTCCCGCATTGTGCTTGCTATTCAATGCAAAAATCGCAGGCAGCAGGGTGTTCGTGTCAGAGGCTCCCAACTTTCCTTCGAAATTCTCGTCCGAGCTGCAGTTTGAAAACTGGGTAAACCACCCAAAAAAAAACGTATTTTAGCCATTTCGATGCTTAAACTCAGAGTCTACGGTTCGGAAAGGTCCAAAACATGTGGTTAAGGTAATACATATCGAAGCTTGCTCATTGATTTGCTGCAAAAATGTGTCAAGCGACTGTTCTGTATATGCTGCTGTAAGACAAAGGCGCAATATCTTTGGGCGCGAACGCGGCTTTATTACCCGCAGAGCGCAGGAGTCGCAGGATTTACAACGGTGAGGATACGCGCGCGCCGCTTCGCACCCTCCCAACTAATACCGCTTCAGCGCCTTCGTCATGCAGTAGGCTTTACCCATTAATACCGATTCTTTTTTTATTACTAGCTGGCATACACGGCCCCGCTTGACGTTGTTAAGACACTATAATAAATGTTCTACCCCTATCACTGTTCAACCTTTCCACGTGCCCACTTTACTTGTCAATTCCCTATCCCGGTTTTGTTTTCGGAATCAGCATGCCCACTTACCCCTGGCCTGTAGCTTGAGCTTTGCAAAAAATCGGTAAAATTGACAAAGGTAATCGATAAATTCAAAAACTAATATTGTATTCGTAATCAGCCCATGGCCACTTACCCCCCCCCCCCATACCACATGCGTCAACTCCCAGCCTCGTAGCTCGAACTTGCCAAAAAATGATAAAAATCGATAAAATCGATATCGATCGATAACGAAAAATAATCTTGACACGCTTCCCTCCCCGGAGTACATGTGGTATATGTGTGCCAAGTTTGGTCCAAATTAGTTCAGAACATAAATTTCTATTTCGCACATACGTACACGCATACAGACAGACAAACAGACTTTAGCCTTGTAAATAAGGTTACCTACTATTAACTTGCTACGAGAAGTGTTAGTAGTTGCTGAACTGCAAAACTGAAAGGCAGGCGGGATTCGCAAGAAAGCTAAGCCTCAAAGCACTGGGCTATAAACGGCTTAAGAGTTGTTTTGTGCAACGCCACTCACTCCAGCTAAACGTATAGCGCGTTCCTAGACCCTGCTATCAGGACAAGCCTTATCATCTTTGTGAGGATGTAGGTTCATCCTATCATTTCATTACCGCCTCTTCAGACTTTCAGTTTTCATTTTAACACTGATTGGTTTCGTTGTAACAAAAGGAGGTGAACTGAAAAAGTTCAAGTCTAACTGTACAGTACTTCTTTTGTTCTTACAAACTCCAAAGTTATCTTTAGTTTCAGTAGACTGCTTCTACTGCAAAAAAATTTTGTTAAGTTTTTGTAAGTTGAATCAGATCGCTGCTTGATGCAGTGTGAATTTAAGTAGAACCTGTAGTTTCTTAATATAAAAGTGCGCGGCTATTCTAAGTAGCATGTTGAAATGTGTTTCTTATCACAGATTTTATGGCAATAATCTCAAGCATAGGAGTAATGAGAATAATAACGATAAGAAAACAGCTTAGCACTAACCTTTACATTTTTCGATACAAGAACTTTCGCTCATGTAAACTTCCTTGTTTTTGTAGCATAGGAACAATCTGGAAAATTTGCCGCTTAAACAGACTCAACAAAAGCGGTACATTCATACTTACAAATAGCCTTGGTATTTCCATTTAACGCAATCGGACACTAAATTCGATATGACAATTTGATCTTGAGTAACGGATAAGTTTTAAGCAGCGTGCACTCTCTCACGCTTATAATTTCAAATTTTTTCGTATGTACCCAGTTTTTGTTGGATTGAAGTTTTGCAACCGCTTGTGTTATAAAACATGAAAGTTTGACTTCAAAAGTTATAACACGCTTGGTGTTGCGAAGGTCTTCCAGAAATTATTGCTACCCATGCTTATTCTAATTTTTTTAAGTAGAGAAAAGATCTCAGATGAAGCAAACCACATCTTATAGGTGAATTTCGAATCGCTCAATTTTAGTTCATTTTTACCTTGAAAGAATGCGCAGCGGAAGGAAGTTTTGCAGCTACAAAGCTGTAAAATCTATCTTTTGCAAACTGTTTAACTTTCCTCGCAAATGCCGTTAACTCGCCAAGGTAAATGAAGGCTATATCTTCGAAATTTTTGATACAAAAATAGAACTGTTAATAGTTGCTTTGCGATGATATTTCTACGTTAAAAGTAATGAAAACAAAACAAAAGTGTTGCCTTACTCCAAACCTATGCGAACATGAGTCTCATTTTGTGGTTCAGCAAGTGCTAGACTGAGTTTTTGCTTACTTGCTCCGAAAGTTCTATGAAGAATTAAGGATGGAACTACAGTTAGCTACAAATAGGTAGTTTGTTATGCATACTCGTGAATGCGGTCTTCAAAAGTCGCAAACTGTTTCCACAAGAAAGTATGCGCTGCACTTGTCTTTCGCAGCGGTAACGGTACCTGTTGTGGTTGTAGGAGGTACAGTATACGTTGTTGTCGTTGATTCCGTTGTTGAAGCTATGGTTAACGGCGTAGTGGTTGAACCTAAAGATATTTGATCATTGGGAAGAAGAAAAAATTGTAACGATTTTTTATGGGTTTGCAACTCTACACTAGTTATTTATTAAAATGCATTCCTAGTCCCGGCATTTGTCTGCCTTGAAATTTATGACCTTATGTGGTCTTGTGCGTATAGAAATCCCCCTTTCCCCTTTGACGTCCGCAAAAGATGGGTTTCTAAGGAAGGATTTTTGGGTTAAATCAATATTTGGTTACAATGATCAAGTATGTGGCGTCGCTTACTACAACCCCATTGTCGCACAGACATGACTTCATACAGAAAAAATGTCAGATTTTCTAGTGTTGTTAGCCGGAATAGACACATTATTTTAGTGTCATTTACTTACGAGGCCTCAGGCATAAATCTTGTGATCTGCCAACTGTCGGCCTAACTGGGTTTTCGCTTACCATCCCTAGAGTATTTATGAGCACAGTTTTCAATATGACAAATTTGTTAGGCGATGAGAGCTAGTTTGGCTTTTTGATAGTGAAAATAGGCACTAACCTTGACATTTTTCAAGACATTTGTCTCTGAAGAAGTCGAAATAATTTTCTTTTTCGCACCAGTAATATCTGAACATTGAATATCGCTGAAATAAAATTAGCCCGAAGAATTCGCTTCACGTACTTAGTATCCAGGAAGCTCCATTCTTCGCATTCTTGTACTAAATTTTATATAATCAATAACCCTTATTTCACCACATAATACAGGGTGCGGCAAAAGTTTGGGAGCCTAACTTTGCAGTACCGCAATTAAAAAGATACTGATGGTTTTGTTTTCAATTTTATGCCACATGATGCTGCGGTCATCCTCTACAGAATACACTTTATTTGGTTGGAAATGGCTGCCGTATGTTTTTGTAAGAATGGAAATTACCAAACTAGTACTTTTGCAAAGCGAAAAAACCGGAATTTTTGGTATTTACAATTCTTGCTCTAGCTAAAGATGCTGTTAATATTTTACAAAACTTCGATGAACACAACGTAGAAGAGGCTTTGCGCTATTGTATCGTAGTTTTGCTTTTGCCAGGAGCTGTTCTTGCATGAACGGAAAATAAAAGATTGCGAATGTTACCTACGTGCCAGTGGAATGTCTTCAGAACAAATTTAAAAGCTATAGAATGCTCAACAGGCACTGGGACCAAGGCTGTATATTTTGCATACGTCCTCTAAATTAGAATCTATTGAAATTCGGCCATGGGAACTTTTTATACTTTTTAAACGATATTTTTAGGTTTTTATTCGCGCAATTGTAGCCAAAATTCTGGTATGCGACGTACACATGCTTCTAATTTAAAATCCAATATTTATATTCCTAAGCAATGCAAAAAATTCGTTTGGAAGTATGTTGTAGACAAAAGTTTGCTATATCATGCTGCGCATTTGCCAAGGTAAAAGAAACAGTTATTTTTAAGGCGTGGGGCGAATTCCATTACGACTACCTGCGTGCCACGACAGGTGGACCTGCCAAGATTTTGTAGGGCTGCGTGAAAGCCAAAAGAGGAAGTTTTGCAATTCAAGAACTGGGCTGTATCTGCAATCGTTCGAATTATGTGTGCGCCAAATTTTTCGTTTCTAGCAACTTCCCTTCTCGTTTTGTACGAAAAAGTACTAGGCTCCCAGACTTTTGCCGCACCCCGTAGTAATTGCATTTTTTCCACTTTTTTAATTCGTTTTTTCACATTATTCAAATTTTTTACTGCATCCACTTTTTTGGCTAAAATTCAAATACAAATACTCGCACTCTTATTAAAGAGTTTATGCATGTGATATGTATCGTCTCATATAATATAATGAAACTTGGCCATTCATGACTGAGCATCTGAAAATTTTACAACTTGAGACTCTTAGGCCTACCACAGCGGGGACTAAAAGCTGAAAATACTATTTTTTTTCTATATTTTACCCTTCATCGCTGACATCTGTTTGCATTTGCGCTACTGGCCTACACCTGCAAAGTGATACGATTAGCAGCCGTACTTACAAAATTTGAGCGAGTCAGTTTGTTCATTGGTTTGCCAAAGACGGGGTTCTTATGTGTTTTTGTTTTAGTCTCTACGACCAACACAAACCAGCGTGCGCCAAGTTACGGAAGGTATCTATGTAAAGTAATATTGCAAAAAATTCCACTTGATTCTTCAAAAAACTTCAATTGACCTATGCCGGCTTCAGACATAAATTCTTTTATTTACAGATTTCGAATTTAAAGAATAATTTCACGGACAGTTTGAGTATCAGTAGCAAGTGAAACAAGGCAGTATTTTTATTTTATTATTTTTTATGCTTCTTACAAAATCGGTTAAGGTACTCTCACGCGCTTAAAAAATCAGAGTTTAAAGCAGAGGTGCGATAGTCGGAGCCGATTCTCCGCCTACCTTCACTTTTGAGCTGGTACAGGGTGACCACCTTCACTTTTGGGTTTGGAAATTTTTTTCGCTGAAGCTCAAAAGAAGGAAAATAAGCAAAAAGAATGCAAAAGAAAGTATTAAAACATATATCTATGTAGTAGGTCGATCCAGGCAGTAACCGCCGAGAACCAGAATTTCGAAAGATAAAATGATGAAAAATCGTGAACAATCGTTCCACTGTTACAAATCTGCTGGCTAAAGACCTCCGCAGTTGTGACTTCATAAGTTTTGAAGGGTGAGGCTGCCGTATCAGAATATATCTTAGCTGTACCGATCCATTGAAACATCGCCGAGATCCAGGCTCTTAAAAAAGCAGGTAAAAAACCGTTTTTCAGCTCATAACTTCTTCAGAATTGCATAATCCATGTTGCGACTTCATAGGTTGGATTCTCCTCATCAAGAGCTTTCAGATGATATATAATATGTGGGGTATTCGGTGTTTCTTGCGGCTCTAACCCGGGGTGGAGTCTCCTCTTCACTAATTCTCCACCCCGCCCATTTCAATGTATTGGCGGGAGGCCGCCAGTGGAGAATTAGTGAAGAAAGGTACTCCACCCCCAGCATATGCCGTGGGAGGCGCGAATCCCTCACATATTATACATCATTTGAAAGCTCTTGATGAGGAGAATCCAACCTATGAAGTCGCAACATGAATTATGCAATTCTGAAGAAGTTATGAGCTGAAAGACTGTTTTTTACCTGCTTTTTTAAGAGGCTGGATCTCGGCGATGTCTCAATGGATCGGACACAGCTAAGATATATTCTGATAGGGCAAACCTCACCCTACCAAACCTATGAAGTCGCAACATCACACACCTTGAAAGTCCGGATTTATAAGAGTTCAAATGTCAGTTGTCATTGAGCAACCTAAAATTGAGAAGATTTCTAAGGTTTTTCAAAATTCTCGTTCTCGGCGGCCACTCCTCAAATCAAACTGATTTTTCACTGTCCGGTGGAACAACATTTACCCTTCAAAACCTATAAAGTCGCAACTGCGGAGGTCTTCAGCCAGCAGATTTGTAATAGTGGAATGATTTTTCACGATTTTTCATTATTTTATCATTCGAAATTCTGGTTCTCGGCGGTTATTGCCTGGATCGACATACTTTCTTCGAAGTACGTCATAACAAAATGTACTTGATGAAACACACAAAGTCTAGCTGAATATCGCTCACAAATACACTATTTCATTGACACCTTTATGTAAAATATTTATGCACTTGTACTCATCGTATTTGTGGCCCTAAAGAGGGCCGTTGGGTCAAAGTTATTGGCCCTGAAGAGGGCCGTTGGGTTAGAGCTCTTCAGTTGTCCGAAGTCATCATGAAGCTTTGCTCTATCGTAGGAAGTGCTGAGACGTACATGCCTCCATGCCGGTGATGGCCTCCAGGTGCTCGCAGTAGGCGACGGCGACTTCGTAAAAACAAAACTACATAGAATACGCTCTCAATACTTTCTTTTGCGTTCGTTTTGCTTAATTTCCTTTTTTCAGTTCAACCAAAAAAAATCAATACCCAAAAGTCGAAAAAAAAAACAGAACCAAAACAAAAACCCAAACCCAAAGTCCGTCCTGTGCTCCCCCCGTTTCTACTCCCACCCCCGGTCAACGTTTTTGAGAGGTGAGTGTCCGGCACTACCACCTTCACTTTTGCTGGCCAGTGGTACCTGCGACCCCCCCCCCCCCCCGGTCGACATTTTGGGAGATGAGTGTCTGGCACACCTTCACTTTTGGCCGGCCAGTGGTAGCTGGAACCACCTTCACTTTTGGGGGGCCCGGCTCCACCTATCGCACCTCTGGTTCAAAGCTTTAACTTGCTATTTAACACTACGCTACTACCCTTCGTCATTGTACAAGCGTTCATCTTCAGAGTTGCTGTAAAAAAGCATTGTGATCTTTTACAAATTGCTTAAACCTAAATGGGCGAAAGTGATGTAAAACCACAGAGGTTGAATCCTGTTTTGAAAACAAATGAATGCTTTTGTCAGCTCAGTTTTGTGTTCATCAAAATAAAATTGATGCAGATTATAAACCAACCTTGTGTTGTACCAGTAACCGTTGATGGTGGTGTCGGTGTTGTCTCTAAAATTACGATTAATCAACCCTCAAATCTGCTATGTTGTTCAAGTTGATCCAAAAACGTTGTATCATAATTTGAGTATATATCAAAATACTCCTAGTACATATCCATCATAGAAATATCTTCTCTGTGAAAGATATACAGCACGTAATACTTCATTACTGTTTCGCTAAACTGTCCGTCTTCACTTTTACCTCAAAAAGATTGCAGGAACAAAGGGAGAAAATGAGTGAAAAAAGGTTAAATCAAAAAGTGACTTGGACGGTTTTTGCTTCGAAATATTTCTTTTATTTTTACAAACTCTAGCGTTTTTTGTGTTCTGATGGCTTGTTTCTGCTGTTGTAGCAGAAAATGTATTAACTTCCTGTGGGCGAAATAAAATTAGCTGTTGATGTAATGTTAAGCCGGTAAAATCTGCAATTCAATGTAAAGTGCGCACCTATTCAATTCAACACGTTAAATTGTGCCTCCTACCAAAGATTTTTATGGCAATAATCTCGAGTATAGGAAAAGTGAGAAAAAAAGGATAAGAAATTAGTTTACTACTAACCTTGACATTTTTCGATGCAGAGATCCTCGTCAGTGTAAACCTTTTTAGTTTTGTAGCATAGGAATAAGCTGGATTGAGATCTACTGCGTAAACAAAACACAACAAAACGATACTTAACACTTACGAAGAGCCTTGGTATCTCCATTTAACGCAATCGGCCGCTAAATTCAATATGTCATTTAAATTTGAGTACAAAACACAAGTTCTGAGCAGCGCGCACTCTACCGTGCTTATTGTTTCAAATAAGTCATTTTTTATATGTACTAAGAAAATCATCATACGCTGGGCATTATACTTGGGTAATTCGAGAATTTTTCATCAAATGAATGAATATCGAATAAATTCGAAAAGGAAAAATTTCGAATAAACGAATATCGAATGAATTCGGAAAATCAAAAATATCGAATGAATGAATTTCGAATAAATTCGGAAAATCAAAAATATCGAATGAATGAATATCGAATATATTCGAACATTGGAAGTCGAATTTCGAATAAATATTCGAATGATTTATCGAATAACTAAAGCAATCACATCTCGAACTTGCCGACATATCTGGCTAGAGCCGATCCAATCATAATCAGCCCCCCTGTATCCCCTATACCAACTCCTTGCTCAAAAGTTTCCAAAAATTATTGAAATCGATAAAATAGATTTCGGTTTTAATCAGCATCCTCATTTACCCCCTGTACCAACTCCCAAGCTCGTAGCTCGAGATTTTCCAAAAATCGATAAAATTTATAAAGTAAATTTTTATCCATAATCAGCACCCTCACTTAACCTCTTGTACCAACTCTCAGCCCCGCAGCTCAGACTTCCCCAAAAATCAATAAAATCGGTAGGTCGGCATCTAGTCTATACATCGGCAAAAAATCATATTTTACCCATTATGGACGATCTAAAAGCACTCGATATAAATTTTTATGCTGTGCCCAAAAGATTCTTCTTCAGATGGTCCGAATGAGACTGATGTACACCAGAATTAACTTTATTTCTTATCAGCATCAACAATGTAAAAGCAAAAGCTTGCTCTACTTTCCACATCAATTAAACACATAGTATGATTTTTTTTACTGTCGCAAGCAGTCGGAAGAATGCAACTCTCCATACAGTTCAAAGGTATAACGGTTGCAAAAGATGCATTACCGAGTTTTGCGAAAAAAAACGCGGACGAAGTGAGCTTGATACTCAGCAGTTGGCTTTGCAACAAAGTCGAATAATCTGAATACGGAGTCATTCGAATACGAATTCGAATAAACATTCGAATAAAACATTCGAATAAAATCTATTCGAAACCTCGTTTTTTGATTATTCGAGTTTTCGAATAATATTCGAAACCTCGTTTTTTGATTATTCGAGTTTTCGAATAATATTCGAAACCTCGTGTTTTGATTATTCGAGTTTTCGAATTTTATTCGAAACCCTGTTTTTTGATTATTCGAGTTTCGAATATTATTCGAAAATGGAAGAACTCCGAATATCGAATTTCGAATACGAATATATTCGAATGTTTTATTCGAATGATCGAATTTCTATTCGATTCGGACCCAAGTATACTGGGCATGTTGGGCATGTTGCGAAGGAGCAGAAGGTGTAAAATACAGCAAATCTTCAAGGAATCATGTTTTTTGTTAACTTAATTTTTCTAGGTAGAGAAAAGCAAGACTAAGCAAAGCACCTTACAGGTAAGTCTCCTTTATCTCTCTATTTTAGTTTATTTTTACTGTTCAAAAGGAAGCGCAGAGGCCGGAAATTTTGCAGGCTCTATAAAACCGTAGTGTGAGAAGGATTTGCAATTTGTTCGAATGAAAAAATGATCTAACTTCTCATAAACGACTTATTACCCATCTAAGGCCCGTATGCACGTACGTCTCCGCTGGGGAGGGGAGAGGAGTTGGATCCCCAGGGAACGGTCCCCTCCATTAAACCCCGCCATGACAGAGGAGAGGGGAGCAATCCCCTCCCCTGCACCTCAGCGAGGATTTTGTGAATGGTTTCCAAGGTATTGATCCAACGAACCCCAATGCATACGGGGTCTGCGTGGGGGAGGGGATCCCTTTTTCCTCCCCACTCGATCCATGTATGCACGAGTGTAACTCAAGAAGGTGGGGGAGGGGATCGACATCCCCTACAACGGAGTAGGGGTTCGATGGTGTAAGTCATGCCAGAGAAGCGACTAACCTGGTTTCAGTCAGTTATTGCAAAGCATTTCCTTCAAATTGATGAAAGATTTTCCATGGTAGCCGGGTTTCCTCTCTCAGCGACTGTAGCTTGCAGTTTTGTCTTTCTCTTCTATAGTCGCTTCTCGTGAAGAAACCCGGGCATATATCTGCCAGTTTCGAATATCTTTAGGAGTTTCTAAACATTCTCGAGATTTGCGCATTTTTTATATGACATGCTAGTTTTATCCATGAAGACTGGTACAACACATTGTAACTATCATATTACCAGTGCGTCACCTCCGCGAAGCGGAGGTGACGCACTGGTAATATGATAGCTACAATGTGTTGTACCAGTCTTCATGGATAAAACGGCTCTGTTATCCGTATGCCTTAATCATGCTCCCAAAATGATGACTTTGTAACTCACCGTGCGAGGCTGTACATCATAAATGAATTGTAAACAACTATTCATTCTTGAAGCATCTCCGTGTAAGATCGGTAATTTTGAGAAAGAAAACTTTTTTGCCAAGGAATAAATATGAATTCGAATATTGAATTTATTTTGGCTTGATAATTGTTACAAAGATAATAGTCATTTTGGGCTACATTTCCATGCAAAAACCTTTTCAGATATTTATGTGAAAACTTGTCAAATCGACTCTCTACGCGATCACTACTTTTTGGCGCAGTTTTCACGGAAAAGCAAACTTTTTGAGCACTTTTTGAGCTAGAATTCTTGGAGCGCAGATTTACTCGTCAGGCAAATCCGGACTTTGCAAAAAGTTGAATTTGTGACCTAGTTTTGAGCGCCAAAAGCCAGGTGGACCCGTTTGAGGCGCAATTTTTGCGGGACCCGCTCATCGAACCGGCTCGTCCTTGTGCATGGTGGGCCTACACGCTGGTACGGTATGCTATGCAAAATTGTAGCTCGATAGCTTAGCTACAGCTGCCTCTATGAATTTCGTGACAGACAGACAAACGCACAAGAAGACAGGAGTGGTAGTAATTTGGTCGAAACCATCATGTTAACTGTGTTTTCATGACACCAGCTAACCAGCAGCTTCACATCATTTTCCAAACGAAGCCACGAATTAACCAATAAGAAACCTCGAAATGCTATCTTGCAAAGCAAAGTCATTGGAGAAGATCGAAACTCCAACCATTCTCATGCTTGTCGGCAATCATTGCACTTTACCAAATTTGCAGTTAGGTCTCCATCCTTGCACCTTCCTATGACCTTATCTAAGCTGTAAACAAGTAAGCTTTCTCATAGTAAGTTGCAGAATGATCTCCCTCACTCTTCTTAACTTGCAAAACCAACACATCATTGTTTTAAACGAAAAAGTGGTCGGGGGTACTTTTTCATTTTAAACTATGATGTGGTGGTTTCACGTCTGCGTCTCATGAAATGAAGTGCTGTTTTCATTACTCTATCTGATAAGGAAACAATGGTGTTAACCTGCTGGTTAACTCATAGTTTGGTTTAGAATGAAACAAGCATGAAACATTTATGGTTTTCTGCTAGTTACTTGCTTGTTTCATGATTTTGTATGACCGATTGAACTGAGTGGCCGTGAAAAGATGATCATGCTTACCACGATGTAACCATGAATGAACTATCACATCATTTGTTGGTTTCGACTAAATTACTACCACTCCAGGAGTGGTAGTAATTTGGTCGAAACCATCATGTTAACTGTGTTTTCATGACACCAGCTAACCAGCAGCTTCACATCATTTTCCCAACGAAACCACGAACTAACCAATAGGAAACCTCGAAATGCTATCTTGCAAAGCAATGCGTTGGAGGAGATCGAAACTCCAACCATTCTCGTACTTGTCGGCAATCATTGCACTTTACCAAGTTTGCAGTTCGGTCTCCAGCCTTGCACCTTCCTATAACCTTATCTAAGCTGTAAACAAGTAAGCTTTCTCATAGTAAGTTGCAGAATGATCTCCCTCACTCTTCTTAACTTGCAAAACCAACACATCATTGTTTTAAACGAAAAAGTGGTCGGGGGTACTTTCTCTTTTTAAACTATGATGTGGTGGTTTCACGTCTGCGTCTCATGAAATGAAGTGCTGTTTTCATTACTCTATCTGATAAGGAAACAATGGTGTTAACCTGCTGGTTAACTCATAGTTTGGTTTAGAATGAAACAAGCATGAAACATTTATGGTTTTCTGCTAGTTACTTGCTTGTTTCATGATTTTGTATGACCGATTGAACTGAGTGGCCGTGAAAAGATGATCATGCTTACCACGATGTAACCATGAATGAACTATCACATCATTTGTTGGTTTCGACTAAATTACTACCACTCCAGGAGTGGTAGTAATTTGGTCGAAACCATCATGTTAACTGTGTTTTCATGACACCAGCTAACCAGCAGCTTCACATCATTTTCCCAACGAAACCACGAACTAACCAATAGGAAACCTCGAAATGCTATCTTGCAAAGCAATGCGTTGGAGGAGATCGAAACTCCAACCATTCTCGTACTTGTCGGCAATCATTGCACTTTACCAAGTTTGCAGTTCGGTCTCCAGCCTTGCACCTTCCTATAACCTTATCTAAGCTGTAAACAAGTAAGCTTTCTCATAGTAAGTTGCAGAATGATCTCCCTCACTCTTCTTAACTTGCAAAACCAACACATCATTGTTTTAAACGAAAAAGTGGTCGGGGGTACTTTCTCTTTTTAAACTATGATGTGGTGGTTTCACGTCTGCGTCTCATGAAATGAAGTGCTGTTTTCATTACTCTATCTGATAAGGAAACAATGGTGTTAACCTGCTGGTTAACTCATAGTTTGGTTTAGAATGAAACAAGCATGAAACAATTATGGTTTTCTGCTAGTTACTTGCTTGTTTCATGATTTTGTATGACCGATTGAACTGAGTGGCCGTGAAAAGATGATCATGGTTACCACGATGTAACCACGATGTAACCATGATTGAACTATCACATCATTTGTTGGTTTCGACCAAATTACTACCACTCCAGACGTTTAGCGCTTTATGGTAATCACCAGTGCGTCACCTCTGCTTCGCAGAGGCTCGCACTGGCTCTACTATCCAAATGCTTTCCTCGTAGTCGCAAAATGATGGCTTTGAAACTTACCTCGCGATGCCGATCATCACGAATGAAATGTAAACAACTACTCATTCCAAAAGTTTTTCATGTAAAATCGGTGATTCTAAAAGGGCGAAAGTATTCTCCAAAAGATTAAATGCGAATTTGAATCAGTTACTGAGGTTATAATGGCTTGATAGTCGCCATAAAGATGATGACAACCGTGAGTTACATCTCTGAGCAAAAATTTTCTCACATTCCCAGGTAAAGCCTTGACAAATCAATCATCTACGCAGTTACTCCTTTTTGGCGCTGATCCTGCATGAAAGTAAACTTTTTGCTCACTTTTTGAGCTGGAGTCCATGGTTGCGGATTTACTTGCTAAACGAAACCATGACTTTGAAAAGAGTACTTTTACAGGCCACTTTGGCGCGCGAAATGTTACGTGGATCCGTTTGGCGCGCTATTTCACAGGTTCCAGTAGTCTGATCGGCTTGTGCTTTCGCATATTTCACCTACATGCTGATAGGGTGCTACTACCAAAATTCTAGCTCAAGACCCTTGATGGAACTCACTCTACGAATTTCGTGACAGACAGAAATTCACACACACACACACAAACGTAAACAACCCTTAGCCCGTTATTATATGTTATGATATTATATGATATGATGTCTTTATCTTGTTATCCTAACGTAAGTTGCTTTGGAAAAATGAAAATTAGCAGATTTGCCCATTTCTAAGTACAGATCCGGGGGAGTGATCCCCTCCCCAGCATTCTCCTCGTGCATAGCAGGGATGGCCGCTGGGGATCATTCCCCTGAGTAAAGGATGATATGTCGCTTATAGCTACAGCGTTCATGGAGAGCTGGCACGATTTGCAGCTTCTGTTATGCGTAGAAATGCTGGTTAGTTTCTCCGCTCCCCTTTTTTTCGGCAGCATAAAGTCTTCTACCCGTCCCCTGCGGAGAGATCTGACTTCTATTGTTGAACACCTTTACTCTGAGATGGGCAGCATGAGCGAAAGTGAGCAGCATCATGACAACAGCAGAACTATATTGGGCCTAGAAAATAGAGTTTTTGGTGTGCCGAGCTCATTCACGGCAGATGCGCATTCCGCAACGCCTAAATCATTACCGATGACGAAAATTGAAGATAAGCAGTCGTCAAAAGGTGAGAATACGAAAAATCGCCATATGAAAGCGAAAGAAAAGTGATGTCCCCGCTCGATCCCCTTGTGCATAAGGGAGTTCCCTTCTCCTACTCCCAGGGGATCCATTCGCCGACATTGTCTGCTTGCATACGAGGGTTCGCCTGGGGAGGGGATGGAAGCCCCAGCGGGGATCATTTCAATAGTAAAATGCACATCCCCTCCCCGCGGGGATGTACGTGCATATGGGCCTAAGTTTTTTTGATTGTTATATCTGCTAAATATAGCTTAGGAATGATGCAATACCCATCAAAAACAAGGTTGTAACCTTTGGTTGTTATCTGTAAGTATTTTCGGAACAGGCAAATGGCTGCGTGTTCTGCTTGGCTAGCATTTTACATATGAACCTGCTACTAATGTATCGTGCAAAAACTAGAGAAGATTTGGAGTTGGTAGCCATAGTTGGAAGCCAGCTCAACCTTCTTCACAACACCAAACAACCCATGCTACATGCATCATATGCATCATGAATAAATTTTACTTATTATTTTCGTCTACTATTTCGAACAAATTGAATGTAATGAAAAAACTGACTCGTGCTTGTTGATTCAGAAGTTGTTGTTGTTTCAACACTTGTAGATGTTGGTGTCGTCGATGTAAACGTTGCTATTGATGTTGCTTCTTCGCCCGTTTCTGTTTCTATAGCAACTTTTTGCAATCTAGCGTAAAAATGATTCTGCGGCACTTACGATTACACTGTGCTTGACAGATCGTCAAGTTTTTGTGAGTGATGCTATAATTGCGGACGCATGCATAGAACTCGACTCTGATTGGCGCGAAATCATGGTGAGCCAGCAAAAAACTACTGGAAAATCTTGGCTAACTTACTCTTCGTGTTGTCCTTTTGTAGGAATAGGCATGCAAAAATAATTGCCTAAATCAAAACTTTTGTTGAAAAATAAATGAATGTTGTCTTCCCCACATAAATCTGGATCTTGGGTAAAGGTGGTACCACGAAAACTAGCACCAATGGAGTACTCGCATATGAAATATTGAGATCTGAAGCAAATGAACTACAATCAACAAAAAAAAAGACAAACAAAAATTTAGCATACCCTCTCAGAATCGTTGCATTGCAACTGCATATTCCTTCAAACTCTTTCGCTTCTGAAAATAAGTGAGCTTACAAGGGAACCGTGTCGAGTCGAAGTGGCCTTTCCAGATGAGACCCATACTGCTTTGAAGAGTATTAAGCGGTGATTCCATATCTGCCTCCCAAATCTGCCAAGCGCCTCTGGACGCCGAGTTATGAGCGTTCTTCGGAACGAAAAATGAATGCAGAATTGAGGTAAAATTGATTGTTACAATCTTTCCAGCGCTCAGATAAAGCAAAGTTAAGCAATAGCATAATAAATAAAATGTATTCACTGCATAAACAGCTCTGATACTTGACACTGGACCATTTGAGCAAATTTGGGCGATTATGCTTCAGTTTTGCGTTCAATTTTTTGGCCTGAAAAACGAGCATAACTCGGCGTCCAGACGCACTTGGCAGATTTGGGAGGCAGATATGGAATTACCGATTAATGCTCTTCAAAGCAGTATGGGTCTCATCTGGAACGGCCACTTCGACTCGACGCGGTTCCCTTGTTAGGTATTTTTGTATAAACATAACAATTCCAAACAAATGGCAGTGATACATCTCAAGGCGTAAAATTCTGATTACGATTCTTTGCTGTCATGAGTTTGTTTGTACACCAGTGCTTACGGTGTATTATAACACAAGGAAAATCATGTTCGTTGCCTCCTGCACCCACATCAATCCGAAAAAGAAAGGCTACTGCCACTGTACATATGTATGCGCTATATACAGCCACTGCATTAATAGTATCTTCTTAGCGAAGGCGTGCAGGATCCTCCAGAGACTCACCGCTTTTCCCCCTGCCGCGCCCATATGAGGCAATATTCTCTTCGCACCCACCTCGCGCTTATACCTCAAATTCTCACACATTCCTGCATTAGTATCCCTCTGGGCAATCGCCTTTTTTCTCCCGACAGTAGAAAGGCCAGCATATGTATGTTCATGTATGTTTTTAAGTGTATGTTTTGTTAGATAAAAACCAAAAAAATGATAGTGCAAACACAGTGAAAACACACAATCAAATAAGCAGACTGGCAGAGAAAGTACCCGTGGTCGCCGGAGTTATGTTAGGTAAGTGGAGCGGCAAAAAAGTCAATCAATTGCCTTATTATTCTGCAAACTCTTCTCTAAGTATCCCAAATAAGTTCCCCTAGTACCATTTCCTCTACTGAACCATACACAGATGAAAAGCTCTCATACTGTTCTTTTTTCAAAAAAGACATGCAGGAAAGAGAAAAAGAACAGACAGTAGATAACAGATTTTATATGAGAGATAAATCAAACGTGAAAAGTTTTAATAGTAATCTTTTTAAATTTTCTAGTTGTTCTAGTTGGATAACATACCCATCAGAGTTTCGCTTCCTCTCAGGAAAGTGATTTTAGCCGACGTGTCAATCAAAGTTTGAAAAAGAAAATGATCTCAGTTTTGTTTCCCGCAGCTGTATTTTAAAATTAGCATAACTCAAATGCGCTCTGCAGACGAGAAACATGATCATTCTTAATGTGCCTCTATTCTTACCACGTCCTCAGGGCCGCAGCTTAAAGTATTGTCTTATCATACCTACATCGAAAGTTCTTCTTAAATCGTCGTTCATAAGCTGATCGTCCTAACCGATGCCAGAGAAAACGAGACAATTATCCGAAAGGAAAGTAATGCAGGAATGTGTGAGATATGTGCGAAGTAAGTGCGAGGTAGGCACGAAGTGATTTTTGCTTCCCAAGGGGTGCCTGAAGAAGAAGCCGCGGGCCTTTGGAGGATTCTGGTACGCCGGCCAACACTTCGTACTGCTGAACAGATCTAATGACATTGGTGTTTTCGGCCGCAATAGACGAGATGCAGCGATATCCGATTTGATAATATTATATTTCGCATCCATGCTCTCTCAATCGTTCACAGAAGACGCAGTGCAGAAAAAGGACGGAAAACAAGATTGTAAAAGTTTCCTTTGCAGATCGAATTGCAGATATTTCCTCGCAAATGTTGTTATTTGCTGAGATAAGTGAAGGCAACATCTTCGAAATTTTGAAAACAGAATAAAATCGACAAAAACGTGTTGCCTTACTTTGAGCCTATAAAAACATGCGCCTCATTTTTGTGCTTCAAGTGCTAAATTGGATTTTTGCTTCGTCAGTTTCGAAAGTTCTACGAAGAATTGGGGATCCAATCACAATCAGTTGCGACCAGTTTGTTATGCACATTCGTAAGCTGCGGTTCATTATAAATCAGAAACTGTCCACACAAGAAAGCCCGTGCTGCACTTACCTGTCGTAGCAGTAACGGTACTCGTTATGGTTATGGGAGGTGTAGTTGATGTTGTTGTAGTTGATTCTGTTGTTGAAGCTATGGTTGACGTCGTCGTGGTTAAACCTAAAGATATTTGATCATTGGGAAAAAAAACAAAAGTGTAGCGATTTTCTATAAATTTGCAACTCTATACTAGTTACTTATTGCATTCCAATTTCTAGCATTTGACAACTCCATAACTTATCCTTATGTGGTCTTGTGCGTTTAAAAAAACCCTTTTCCCTTTGATGTCCGCAAAAGATGGGTTTCTAAGAAAGGATTTTTGGGTTGAATCATATTTGGTTACAATGATCAAAGTATGTGGCGCATGTAGCTTGACTACAATCCCACTATCGCACCAGATATGAATTCATACAGAAAAAATGTCAGATTTTCTAATGTTGTTAGCTAGAATGAACACATTATTTTAGCGTCATTTACCTACGAGGCCCATAAATCGTATGATCTGCCAACTGTCGGCCAAACTGGGTTTTCACATACCCTCCCTAGAGGTATTTATGAGCACAGTCTTCCATATGGCAAATTTGTTAGGCGATGAGAGCTAGTTTGGCTTTTTGAGAGTGAACATAGGCACTAACCTAGACATTTTTCAAGACATTTGTCTCTGAAGAAGTCGAAATATTTTTCTTTCTCGCACCAGTAATATCTGAAAAATTGAAATCTGCAAAAAGCAACCTAGCCTGAAGAATTTATTTCACGTACCTAGTTTCCAGGAAGGTCCACTCTTCGCATTCTGGCACTAAATTTTATATCGTCAATAATTCCATTTCACCACACAATGCTAATTACATTTTTTACTCTTTTTTTAACTCGTTTTTTTCACTTTATTTCAATTTTTCACTGTGTCCACTTTTTTGGCTAGAATGCAAACGCAAATAATCGCACCTTATGGAACACAGTTTATGTATATGATATACATAGTCTTCATAATTCAAGCACAGTCTTCATAATGCATTGGCCTTTCAACACTAAGGAGTTGAAAATTTTGCAAGTTGAATTTTCAGCCCCGTCACAGTGGGGGTTGAAAGACCGAGGATATCATTTTATTCTTAACTTTATCCTTCCTGAAGCGCCTTCAATTTGCATTTGCGCTGTTGGCTTACACCTACAAAGTAAGAGATTAGCAGCCATACCAACAAAATTCGAGCGAGTCGGATTGCTTATTGGTCTGCTGAGGAATGAGTTTCGAAGAAACTTTGTTTTCCATAAGTTGTTTTTTCTAGTTTCCGTGATTAGCACAACCTAGCGTACGCCAAGTTACGGAAGGTGTCCACGCTGAAGTACTATTGGGAAAAAGTTCACTCATTCTTCAAGAACCTCAGTTGACCTGTGCAGGCTTCAAACACGAGTCTTTTTGAATCCATAGATAGTTTGAGTATCAATAGGTCAAACAAGGCAGTGATAAGTTTTATGGTTCTTACAAAGAGTTTCAGTTTTCTCACGCGCTTCCAAAATAACAAGTGGAGCTTTAACTTGCTAAGCACTGCGCTCGGTACTCTTTGTCACTGCACAAGCGTTCATGTGCAGAGCTGCAGTTTTATACATAAGCTTTGCTATCTTTCACAAGTTGCTCTCTAATTATGGGCGAGAGTGACATAAAACCACAATATCAAGAAAAATAGCAATCTGCAAACGTGAATCCTGCTACGAAATCAAATCTGGCATATGGTCAATACTGCTGTAATTCTGCTCATCAAATAAAAATTAACACAATTTGTGTTGAACCAAGATTCTGAAAAGGCAGCAATGTGCAAGCGTTGAATTCTGTTTCAAAATCAAATTTAGCATATAATTAACCAGTGCGTCACCTCTGCTTCGCAGAGGCTCGCACTGGTCCTATTTCTGTATGCCTTGCTCATTTCCGCATAATAATGGCATTGAAACTCACCGCGCTATGTAAGCTGTCACGAATTATTCGTAACAACTACTCATCCCTAGAGGTTTTTCGTGTGAGATCGGTTCTTTCGCCTGGATGAAATTTTCTTCGGAAGAACAGATGCAAATTTGAGTAGGTTTTTGGAATTTTTGTGGCTTGGTAGTTGCCATAAGGACAATAAACATCATGGGCTACATCTCTGTGCAAAAATCTTCTCAAATGATCAGATGAAATCTTGGCAAAACGAACATTTACGCAACTAACTCTTTTTGGCGCCATTTTCGTAAAGTAGCCAACTTTGGTTCAGTTTTCTGGGCTGAAGTCCATGGCTTCCACATTAGCTTGTCAAACGTATCCATGACATCGCAAAAGTGGTGGTACAGACTCAATTTATTTGGCCAAAAGCCAAGTGGATTCGATTGACGCGCATTTTTTGAGGGATCCACAAAACGGATCCGCTCGTGCTTTTGTACATTGGACTCTCATGTTGGTAGCATGCGCTATGCAAAATTTGAGCTCAGGAGGTTGGCTGGAACACGTTCTACGAATTTCGTGACAGACAGACGACTTACACACACACAAAAACGCGTAAACACCCTTAGCCCGTTATTATAAGTTACCAGTGCGTCACCTCCGCTTCGCGGAGTTCGCACTGGCTCCCTATCCGTATACCTTTCTCATGTTCGCATGAGAATTGAAACTCACCACGCGATGCTGAGCATCACAAATTAATCGTAAACAACTGTTCATTCATGAAGCATCTCCATGTAAGATCGGCAATTTTTAGGAAAAAAAACTTTGTTGCAAGGAAACAAATGCGAATTTGAAAGGATTACTGGATTTATTCTAGTTTGATGATCGCCATAAGGATAATAGTCACCTAGAACTACATTTCGGTGCGAAAATCTTTTCAGTTTTTCCAGATAAAACCTTGCCAAAGCGACTATCTACGCGCTCATCAATTTTTGGCGCTGTTTTCGCAGAAAAGCAAAGTTTTTGAGCACTTTTTGGGCTAGAATTCATGGCGCGCAGAGTTACTTGTCAGGCAAATCATAGCTTTGCAAAAAGTCGAATTAGTGACCCAGTTTTGCGTGCCAAAAGGCGCGTGTACCCGTTTGACGCGCAAATTTTGAGACCCGCTTATCGAACCGGCTCGTCCTTGTGCATGGTGGGCCTACACGCTGGCACGGTATGCTATGCAAAATTGCAGCCCGATAGCTTAGTTGCAGCTTCCTCTATGAATTTCGTGACAGACAGATTTTCACACAGACACACAGACACACAAAAAAAAACAGACGGCCTTAGCGCGTTATTATAGTAGGGTAAGCTTTTGTAAGCATGTTAATCTAAATAAAATCAATACAGGATATAAACCAACCTTGTGTCGTAGCAGTAACCGTTGGTGGTAATGTTGGTGTTGCCTCTAAAATAACGATATCTAAAGTAAGCATTTCAGACATGCCATGTTGTTCATGCTGTTCCAAATAGCGTCATGTTTTAATTTGCGCGATAGTCTATTCAAAACACACATTTTAATACAAATTCATCATAAAAAACTACTTTTTTGTGAGAGGGAAAAAAGCTCACGTCAAAAGGTGATTGGACTGTTCTTGCTCAAATATATTCCTTTATTTTCACAAACTCTAACGCTGTTCGTATTCTGATGGCATGTTTCAGCTATCATAGCGAAAAACTTGATAACTATTTGTGGGTCAAATTGAATCAGCTGTGGGACAATGTAAAGCTGGTGAAACCTGCAGCTATCGATTGTGTCTCTTACCATGTTTATTGGCAGATGGCAGATTTGAGTATAATAGAGAGAATAAACTAACCTTGACATTTTTCCATACAAAGGCCCTTGTCTACGTAAACTTTTCTACTTTTGTAGCATAGGTACAATCTGGAATAATATCTACTGCTTAAATAAACACAACGAGCACGATATATTTACACTTACAAAGAGCCTTGGTAGAACCATTCACGGCAGTCGGGCACTAAATTTGGTACAGATAAGTTTCAAGCAGCGTGCACACTCCCATTACCGTTTCAAACTAGTCTTTTTTTATACGTACCCAGTTGATTCAAAATTTTGCAACCGCTTGCGTCAAAAAACGTGAGTTTGACTGTAGAGAATCGCACAAGCTTAAAGCCACCGTTCACCCAAAATGGGGTCGACGAGATTTTGATGCCCAACAGTAGCGGGGGCCCATAACTTATACTTGCCCAACTCGAGCTGCCATAAGTAGTTTCCGAAGCGAGGAAATTGCTTCGAAAATCGCTTTCAATGACGGATTCACCACGCTGGCTCCTCCTCACTAGGTGGGCGTGACGGGTCCCGCCCATCCGTGCGCACCTAACCAATCACCGTTCCGGAAAACTCGCACCGCAAGTTCTGCGGAACTGGGATTGTCGGGGTTCGCAGATTCTTGACCTGATATTCGGAACCAGGGGTATGAGAAGGCCGGGAACGAAAAAAATATTGAAGTTGAGAATTTGGGTGGACGGTGCCCTTCAAAGTATATGCAAAGTTGCGAAGTAATACAGCGGCTTTTTAAGCACTTGCCGCACCCATTTTGTTTTAACTCTTTTAGCCTTGGTATATTTATTTAACGCAGTCGGACAAATAATCTAGTACGTCAGTACCTCCGAGTACAAAACACATAAAATTTGAGCAGCATGTACTCTTCCATGATCTTTTCAAAAACTAGTATTTTTTATACGTAGCCAGTTTGTTGGATTGAAGTTTTTGCAATATCGCTTGTATTAGAGAACGTGATAGTTTGACTTTGAAGAATCGTAACCCACTTACAGCAGATCGCCGCTAAATAACACAGCACTTCTCCAAAAACTCTTGCCGCACCCAAAATTTTTGTTCTAATTTATTTTTTCTCAGTAGACAAAAGCAACTCAGATCGAGCAAGCCACATTTTGTAGGTGAATCTCGTCAATCACTCTATTTCAGTTCATTTTCACAGTCCAAAACAATCAGAAATCGGATGTTTTACAGCCTATAAATTAGTCTTTTGAGAAGAATTTGCAATTTCTTCGAGTTAGAAAATGATCTAAAAAATGATTTTCTACATAGACTTTCTGTAGGTGTAGATGAAGTTGAGGCTGTTGTTTTCGTTGGTGTCGGTGTTGCTATTTCTTAAATAAAGCTTATTGCTAGAAGACTTTAAAATAAAGGGCTTTTAGTGCTAAGCATTCCCGGCTGTACTATATTGGTGGTCAAAAAACAAAGCTCATACTTTGAGCTGCGGGGCTGAGGGTTGGTGCAGGATTTGTTATGGAGAGGAAGGGGAAGGGGGGGGGAGTAAGTAGTCTTGCTCATAATGAAAACAAGGGGGCAAGAAGCTTTATTATAGAAGTGAGAAAGAGGACTGTTGCTTGGAACTAACAGGGGAAGGATACTTGTTGGAAGTGGCATGTTCATATGAAACGTATACCATCTTATGGCAAAATTTCTTTCGTTCTCTGCAAAGCGATTTTGGAGAAGGAATTATGCTACTTTTTTGAAGCAAAAATTGAACGGGCGGCTACTATAAAATCATTCAGAACTGTAGTCTGTGAGCTCAAAAGGAGCCATGATCACTGTCACGGCACTTTATATAATTAACACTTTCAGTCTAATAATTTTATGTCAGTTAGCGCCTTTTCAGCATCGAAAAGACCTCATTGTGTGGATTACCTCAACCAAACCCTGAAATTTTTGCCCCAAAAAATTCCTATAACTCCCTTTTCAGAAGAGCTTTGCAGATATTAAAAGCAGATTTGGAATCAGCGTGACATGCACTATGAGATAGTGTACGTTTCATATGGAAAGCCCACTTCGACAGAGTATCCTTTCCTTGTCAGACGGAATGGTGTTTCTATCATTTTATTGATAGAGAGCGACCGAAGTCGGGTAACACAGCCAAAAAATATTATTCCGGAAATTTTTTTTTGGCTGAAACGCTAGCCTCTTGTCGGAACAAAACTAGTTGCCTCGATAAGTATATCAAGATGCTCCGAATAGCCTATTTCTGCTGCAGTCATCTTCTTATTAAAAGCTTTTAAGAGTAATGATTTCTCTCCTTTTTTTCTTGATGTGTGATTGAGGTGTATTTTTAGAAAGCGATATAAGCAAATACATATATTAACAATATATGTACAAAATGGATCGACAATGGATAAATGGATGCTGGATCATACACCCTCGAAAGTGACCTATCACATCATATTCTTCCTTCATCCCACTTGGCTATTTTGAGACTATATAACTCTGCTAATGTTATAGTATGCACGTGATCAAAGCTTCAATACTGTGTGAGAGGTCTTCTCAAAACAGATACAATCACTAGCAGAACAATGCGTACTTTTCGTTTTAGTTCATCATATCCAATATTATAACAATAAATTAAGTGCGAGAGTTTTAGCGATACAAAATTTAAGCTAAATGCATTATAGTATCAATATAGTATTACGTATTTAGTGTTCTATCTTATAATAATGTAATGATTTCTTGTATGATGGCACATTATGATTGAGTAATGTGTAAACAAATAATTAAATAAATGAACTGACCATAACATTCCTTTTCACATCTTTCGGGGTCCTCAAAGCTGAGGTTATTGAGCGGGCATGTGTATGTGATCCGATTCATTGTGAGTAAATCATCAATGCACAAAGATTTCTTCCCACCTTAAAACATATGCAAATTAGAAGGTGTTAGAGATCGCCTTAACATAATGGAAACCGTATGAATGTTACGTTTCGAAACATTCAAATTTTCTAGAGTTTTTCTAGCCTTACAAAAAAGCCTGAAAGATAGAGTAATAGCTTTTGATGAGATTGAAAAATTTCTGCTTTGTATTAGGCTGGAAAGAAATGTATGCCACTTTTTATTTCTTTTTTGTCATGGCATCGCATCAAGACAAAGCCAAAGACATGTATTGGCACCATTCGATAGAGTAAAGCAAGCTTTATGAGCACTTTGGTCCGCAGAAATTTTTTGAAGGAGATGCAAATTTTTTTTGATTTTTCGGTCATTTAAAACTTTGTTAGGTTCCATTTCCAACTCCAGTCCTCCTAGCTTGGTGCAAAAACAGTAATGCCATTTTGTAGAATTTGCTTTGCACTATCGAATAGTGCTCAGTAAATGTCTTTGCGATTCGTCTTTTTGCGATGCCATAACAAGGAAATAAAGAGCGAAATTCTTATCTTTTCAACTTAATATACAGGCGATCTTAGGGGTTGAATGCCGGAGGATAACGATGCCTGAAAAAAAGTTCTGACTTTGCCATAGAAAATGTTCCTTTTGTCCCGGATGTGATGATGATGATGATGGCCAGGGAAGTAAAGAGCAAAATTCTTTTCTTTCCATTTCAAAGGCAGCCCCTCAAAATGATGGGTAGTACCGGGATTTTACAGAGTTCCAATATTAGGCCCCCAGATAGTCTATCAGGTAAAGTTTGGAGCGCTTTTTTAAAACCCAAAATTTGCTCCGGAAGTCTTCTAGACCCCGCCCACTTCCAAACCCCGCCATTTCCAGGCCGCGCCTATTTTTTACAAGTGGTTTGGAGCCGAACGCCGACATGGGGAGCTTCCAGAAAAGCTCATTTTTGCCGTTTCCAAGCGCTGAAAAGCTCAGATATGGCTTCAGCCGCGAGAAGGCTCCAGAAGGCTCCGAAGAGGTGAAAAAACGCGTTTTTGCCGGGACACTGCCTTTAATATACAGGCGATCTTAGGTGTTGAATGCCGGAGGATAACGATGACTGAAAAGTTCTGATTTTGTCATAGAAAATTTTTCTTTTGTCCCAGATGTTGGACGAACTTAAAGTCATTGTGTCTATCGTTCAACTGACTTGTAGTAGCTGGTGCAGACGTCGTTGCTGATGTTTCCACTCTTTTGGATGTTGCTGTTGTTGGTGTGGATGTTGCCAAAGACGTTGCTCCTTCGCCCGTCCCTGTTTTTGAAGTAACTTCTTACAAAATAAAATAATATTATAGTAGTGTGGCGATACTTACTGTTGCACAACGCCTGACATTCGGTAACATTCTTGTGTGTGATACTATTGTTATGGACGCACACGTACTTTTCAATTCTGAATGGAAATAGTCTTCAGTGGAATTATGTTTGAAAACATTCCGCTGACTTACTCTTCATCTTCTGTTATTCCTTTTATTCCTTTTATTCCTTTTATTGTTTTTGCAGGGATTGGAATGCAGACATAGTCACCTGAATCGAGTCAATAAAAAATGCTCAAAATTTTCTTATTTACATTACATTCTCTTACATAAGTTTGAATGCCTGGTTATGTGACTGCCACCGAAGCCGCCTTTGATAGAATACTCGCATGTAAAGTAAACAATTCTAGAGCAAATTTTGTTAGGCTCATTCAACAGTAGAAAGACACAAGCAAGACTTTGTACTCTTACCCTCTTAAAATCATAGTTTCATTGCAACTACATTTCCCTTCATCCTCCGCATCTGAAAAGGATGAGCAAATGAAGCATTAAGAGAGTGATTTATCTTATTTGGAAAACTGTTTTAGAGGCTTTACACATCACATGTTATATTAGTCTGACCAGAAACATGTCAAGAAATTTAAAAAATTGTAACTATTTGCTTTATGAACAGATGTGTTGGTGCAAGTTTGTTCAAAAAAAAGTCTTACAAGCTTCTAAGATTTTTTTGTCACCCAACAACTCTACGAGATTACATCTCGTAGCAGCAGAAGTAAAATCTACTCTTTCTAATTGGCAAAGTTTGTGCTGACTAAAGTCTTTATGAGATGTATTATTCTTGAGCAATGAAAAAACATCACCTTCGAAGCTTTCAACAATTCCCAAATGCATTTCTTCTTTCCTACATTTTTGGATTTTTGATCTATGCCTTCAAGGTTAAAAGGGGAAGAAGTGTTGCTACAATGACATGTTTACAAGTTACAATTTCTTCTTAGGAGTCTTGTAACATACAATTGTGTTGTCATGATAATCTCGTAATAAGAACACTCAGAAGGACTCAGCAGCCAGTCAATGAGTTTGATAGTTTTCACATAAGTTGATCCTACCAAGTGCTCAGTTTTTCTGTTTTTATCAGTGCTACGTTCAAAAAGGGGACAGGGGTCGTAAATAAGAAGTGAAGCTAGAAACTGATTGTAGCGATATGCTTCTGCTTGTATGACCATAGCCAAAATCATATTCTTTCTACAAAATTTCCTATGGAGACAGCACGTGATAGATAATCTGAAATCAGCTTGGACTGCATGCAAAGGTAAAGTAATCCAGACAATATGGGTCGAAGGTAGTACAAGACAAATTCTCAGCCGCCAGGCGTGTGCAGAAGTAAAAGTGGTTTATCTTTCACTATGGTTTATAGACCCTACACTAAAATCTTTCTGCTAGCTAAAACATCCAAATGTCCTAAGTAATACGAGAGCCAATCATAGCGAATCATTTAAGAGGATAAAGAGAATTTCACCCAATTTCACAAGTACAGGATGCACCAGTTTTTTCGAAACTCGACCAGCCTGAATGCAATAAAAAATTTAGCGACTAAAGGACCCTCTACCGGGTAGAGGACTATGTGTTGCCGAAAGTGGAAGGGTCCCGCGCGGACAATGCAGCAGATACCCAGCGTGCGCATGTATTGGAAAATGCATTTGTTGCAGATGTCCGGCGGAACCTCCAACGTCCAGCGACATATAGTCTTCTACCACCCTTCACCGTGCTGCTAATCGCCTAGAAGATTTGTGTAGGAAAGTGATTATTTCGCGAGGCACAAAAAATACATAAAGTAGAAAAATGCTTGAATTAGAAAAGTGATTTCTGTTCTAAATTAGCGCAGGTAGGAAGAAATCAGTTTCGGTCGTTTTCGACGGTCTACGAAACGGTAATTTTATGAAGGATAGTTCGAAGAAAAGCAGACGTAACGTTTAGCAGAAGTTTTTTGTTATGTTTACTGGTGCAAAAAAGTGTAAAAGTGTTGTTTTGTATTTCGCGTAGGGCTTGGGGCGCGAAGCCAAGCACGCCGAGGTCAGGGGGCGGAGCTTTGCTCACAAGGCGTGCTTGGCGTCGTTCTTGCCATTCCGGTTCTACGTCAACCTAGGAAGCAGTCGACACTTCTACTGTTCCAGTTATTCTCTGATATGCAATCGATCATGGAGGGGCATGACCCGTCTACTGTCCCGGATCCGAACAGCGAGGTCGTGCAGATGACGCGTGACCAGTACGAGCTATTGATCTACCAATTGGCAGCAGCATCCTCATCTCCCGTCACGGCACCCGACACTTCAGGACCCCGCCCGAGCAGCTCCTCAAGACCGTCGTTCACGAAACCTGGACTGGCACGGCAGTTCGAGTTCAGCACGAAGGTTATGGAAGCCCTGACTCCATCGTTGCATTCGCTCCCGAAGAAGAAGGAATCAGAGCCAATCTACTGAAAGCTATCACTCTTCTCACACAAAGGAATGAATTATTAGCTGTCGCCGACACGGATCCGGAAGTCTTTGACTTCTATGACCAGCACTCTAAAGCCGAAGCGATGCAGGTCAGCAACCCGATATTAGCTGCCTTTATACGAGAGAAAAAGAAGATGGACGACAAGAAGCCGGCACCGACTACAACCCGCTCGTCTATGTGGAGTGAGTTACTTAGTAATTCTGGTGCATTGATTCCGAATGTTTCTGGGGTATCTGTTATTGATATTATTGTTATTATCGCTTGTTCAGGGGCGCGGTTTTTGCCGTACAGGCCCTTTCGTTTTGGAGGGGCGGCACGGGCCCCCGCCCCTCCAAAACGAAAGTTTCCAGATGCTCTTCCAACAGGGTCGTTCTTTCCCTCCCCGAGCCCCACATCCGCAGGAAGGTCGCCCAAGGGAGATGTGCTACAATTGTGGCCGATACGGACATTTCGCCAGAGAATGCAGAAGGGACAGCAGTTCACAACAGTGAGTTCAAAACTGGATTGATTCATAATTACTTGGATTTTTGGTTGGGTCTCAGTCCCTCGTCGTTCGTTAGGGTGTTACTGTGTGAAGGTTACTCCCCGGAATTCTTATACGAGCCCACCCTAAGAGTTGTTCGAAATAATTGCAATTCAGCTCGAGTGCATGAGAGCTTCGTGGATTCTGAGTTAGCCCAACTGCTTCGCACCGGGGCCATAATTGGGGTAGAGGAGGGGGAGAGAATTAGAATTAACCCACTATCCGTAGCGGAGGGGAAAAAGTTGAGATTTATTCTGGATCTTTCGGAGCTCAATAGGGGGGGGGGGGGGGTAATCAGGAACAAAATCAAGTTCGAAGATCTTACAAAAGTGGCCCCCCTTCTGCCGGATAATGGGTTCATGCCATCGTTCGATCTCAAGTCCGGGTATCATCACGTTCGTATCAATCCTGACTTCCACAAATTTTTTATGTTTACTTGGAGGGATAGATACTATAAGTTCGTTGTCCTCCCTTTCGGATAGCCTCGGCTCCAATGGTATTCACAAAATTGATGAGACCACTTTTGGGGAAATGGAGGGCTAGTGGCATTAACGTTGCCCTGTATCTTGATGACGGCCTCTTGTGGTCCAATTCCGCACACAGGTGCGAAGACTCAGTGCAGACTGTGAGAGCCGACCTGGCCAGTGCCGGTTTTTCTTTAGCCGAGGAAAAATGTGCCTGGACTCCGAGCCAGAGGCTGACATGGCTGGGCCATGTCATTGACCTAGTATCGATGACCATAAACGTCACTAGCGAGAGGAGGAAGAAAGCGAGAGCGTTGGCTGAGAGGTTGTTAGCGGCGAGGGGCCCATCTCTGTTAGACAGATTGAAATGGCAAGGCACAGTGGCCTCCATGCATCTAGTAATTCCTTCAGATAAAATGAGGATGTGGAAAGTGGTAGTGTCCCAGGTGGCACGGCGGGAGAAAGAGGGCACGGCTATCAGTTCCGATGGTCCCTTTCCTCTCAGGAAAGAGCTGAATCAAGGTTGGTTAAACTTTGATTTGGATTTTAAAGGCGCGCCCATTTCTAATGTTTCGCAGCTTTCTGACGCCTTGAGAGGCTTTTCGGACGCTTCAGAATTCGGGGTAGGCGCGGTTTTGCATCTAAGCGTGGGAATAAAAATGACATCTTCCGGAAATTTGCCGCTTGAACTAGTAGGGACTTCTACTACTGCTAGAGAACTTTACGCCATCTCGTTTGGGCTGAGGTCGTTTCGCGAACACATCATTAGGGAACAGCTTGTGTGGCACTGCGATAATCAGGCAGCGGTCGCTATTCTCAAAAAGGGTACCACAAAACCACGTCTGCAAAGTTTGGCTAAAGAAATATGGGATTTTTGTGCGCAGTTCCAGCTCACAATCGAACTTTCTTGGATTTCTCGCGCATTCAATGATGAAGCTGGCTCGGCCTCTCGTTTAATTGATCTGGATGATTGGAGCATTAGCGACGAAATTTGCTCTCAGGTGCAGAAAGACTGGGGCCGTTGCAGCATTGACTTGTTCGCTAGCCTATCTAGCAGGAAATGCCCGCTTTCATTTCCAGGGAAGCCTGCTCTGAAGCAGTGGCGACGGACGCCTTCTCAGCAGAATCAACAATGTGGTGGAGAAACAATTTTATATGGTGGGTTCCTCCTCCGAATCTTATAGCGAAAACCTTGATTTGGGCCAGACGGCATGGTAGCCGGGGTATTTTTGGATTTCCAGTTTGGCCTTCTAACCTTTTTTTCGCGTATTTGCGCGAAGGGGACTCCCGGATCCGCGAGATTAAAGATCTTAAGATATTCCCGGCTGGAAGTCCAGTTCTGGTAAGAAACTCTCCCTCTCTTACTTTCGGTGGTACATCGCTTAAATTTGGCTTTGCCTTTGCGCTCCTCCGTTTCGACGACCCCCTCGCGCTTTAACTTTTTCCGGCGTTTTTGTTGCTGCGAAATACAAAACTGAGGTCTTGCCGTAGTTACCGGAGGCAAAAGTGTTGTTTTGTATTTCGCGTGGGGCTTGGGGCGCGAAGCCAAGCACGCCGAGGTCAGGGGGCGGAGCTTTGCTCACAAGGCGTGCTTGGCGTCGTTCTTGCCATTCCGGTTCTACGTCAACCTAGGACCCACCCGTCCGCCCTGAGGCCAAAATCCATATAATTTTGATATCAGTAGCGTAGTCACCTCTTTTCTCTGCCTTCCTGCTCTTAATGCTATAATAACCCAAATTTTTCGCGGCGGACATTCAAATTATTGCAGGGAAACTCGGGATTTGTCGTTCTGGGGAAGTGGAAAGGTGCTCATCTCGAGCAGCTCGGGTAGCTCTGGAAGAGGGCTCTGTGAGATCGCTTTACTCCTCTTTTTTCTTTCAGAGGCGCTCGCGGACGGAAAAAAGAAAAAGGCGGTAGAGACAGCGGAGATCGCTTTTGGGGCAGGTCTTAGTAAGGTGGCCGAATTGATCGACACTTGTTTTGACAATGCGCTGGCAGACGGCATTAGAGAAATTTACCGGAGAGTTCAAAGGAGTTTTCTACACTTTATTGGAAAATTTCGGGCCACATTCGCAGCACTACATAAGCTGAGGAACGTTTTTATAGCGCATTTGATAGAGCGCGGAAAAGTACGAGCGCTTGGCTACCATGTAGCGGCTTTATCCCACTTTTTCGGGCAGCTTCCACAAGACGACGAGGAAATATTGAGAGCGCTCCTTCGGGCAGCGAAGAAGGAATCCCCACCTGTGATTCATAGGAGGAAAGCCAGTCAAGGGGATGTGGACGCAATCATTAGCTTCGCCCTCCAGCGAAAAACGCTTCAGGACATTAAAGGAGCTGCAGTAGTCCTACTTTTTTTCAAAGCTTTTCTGCGCGTAGGCGAGGTGTGCAGGCTCCGGGTGGCGGTTGCCATAGGGGGGATAACATTTGGTGGCTGACCATTCGTAAATCAAAAACTGACCAAGAAGGAAAAGGAGTCACCATTGCTTTCCGGCTAGAGGGCCAAGCTCTGATACTCTGGAGAGTATTTGAGAATTTCCTCCCCCCGAACCCGGAACATTTCATTTTCAGCAAAGAAGCCAATGGTCCGCAACCGAAGACTGATGCTGTATCTCGCAGGATCAAGAAGCTACTGCAGGAGGCCGGATTGCAAAGCAGAAGGCTCACCCCACATTCGTTCCGCAGGGGTGCAGCCACAGAAGCCATACGCGCAGGAAAGCATCCCGAGAACGTCATGCGAGCAGGCAGATGGAAGACGGCAGAAGCTTTCCAAGCCTACATCGACCCGACGCCCTTGTAAGCCTCATGTAACAAGACATCCCGCTGCCGAGCTGAGCTTTTCTTTGCATGTTACGTTCATATATTTCATCTCACCTTTTTTTGCACACATAGCAGTAGCTATCCCTTGCAGCTCAATCCGGTCACTTTTATTAGCATGTTGCCTTTTTCTGATAGCTGCCTTGATTATAGCAGTAATTTTCGTTGTTCCCTTTGTTTCGTCGAGATAGACATGAATCCACACGAGTGCCTTCATAGTTTTCCTTGCATCTATTCGAGTGTACAGATTTATTTGTCACGAACCGATTTGACCACATATTCAATGTCATACTATCATCGATTTTCAGTCGAGACTCAGGCCATCGTGCCGCTTTCTGCTTCTCGTTTGCCTACAATTCAGTATTCAATTGTATGTAGCACTTCTGGTAATCTTGGTATCTCGTTTCGAGCTTATGTGTACTCTGCAATAAGTTTTTCTGTGGATTTCGTTCTCACGTAGGTTAGGGTGTTAGTGTTTGGTCTGTTTTGACCGTATTGATTCGGTGTCATAGTTTATCTTGAGATCCAGGTCATGGGTCCTATTTTTCGCTACCTTTTTCATCTCCTGAGTAACGTAATTCGATGTTTCTTACGATTGCGATGGATCTCTGAGTTTCACCGCTCCTTGTTCCCTTTGTTCGCTGGATCTGAGAAAGCAGATTCTTTCTCAATATATTTAGTTATATATTTTCATTCCCAACATTTGGATGCGTTTTGTAATGTTTATCGCCATTGTTAATATTGTTACCATAATAGTGGTGCTTACTATGCAATTTTCGGGGCCTTGACCCCTTATGGATGTTAAATGTTGACGAATGAACCTTCTACCCGCCGGCGTTTTTGTTGCTGCGAAATACAAAACTGAGGTCTTGCCGTAGTTACCGGAGGCAAAAGTGTTGTTTTGTATTTCGCGTGGGGCTTGGGGCGCGAAGCCAAGCACGCCGAGGTCAGGGGGCGGAGCTTTGCTCACAAGGCGTGCTTGGCGTCGTTCTTGCCATTCCGGTTCTACGTCAACCTAGGACCCACCCGTCCGCCCTGAGGCCAAAATCCATATAATTTTGATATCAGTAGCGTAGTCACCTCTTTTCTCTGCCTTCCTGCTCTTAATGCTATAATAACCCAAATTTTTCGCGGCGGACATTCAAATTATTGCAGGGAAACTCGGGATTTGTCGTTCTGGGGAAGTGGAAAGGTGCTCATCTCGAGCAGCTCGGGTAGCTCTGGAAGAGGGCTCTGTGAGATCGCTTTACTCCTCTTTTTTCTTTCAGAGGCGCTCGCGGACGGAAAAAAGAAAAAGGCGGTAGAGACAGCGGAGATCGCTTTTGGGGCAGGTCTTAGTAAGGTGGCCGAATTGATCGACACTTGTTTTGACAATGCGCTGGCAGACGGCATTAGAGAAATTTACCGGAGAGTTCAAAGGAGTTTTCTACACTTTATTGGAAAATTTCGGGCCACATTCGCAGCACTACATAAGCTGAAGAACGTTTTTATAGCGCATTTGATAGAGCGCGGAAAAGTACGAGCGCTTGGCTACCATGTAGCGGCTTTATCCCACTTTTTCGGGCAGCTTCCACAAGACGACGAGGAAATATTGAGAGCGCTCCTTCGGGCAGCGAAGAAGGAATCCCCACCTGTGATTCATAGGAGGAAAGCCAGTCAAGGGGATGTGGACGCAATCATTAGCTTCGCCCTCCAGCGAAAAACGCTTCAGGACATTAAAGGAGCTGCAGTAGTCCTACTTTTTTTCAAAGCTTTTCTGCGCGTAGGCGAGGTGTGCAGGCTCCGGGTGGCGGTTGCCATAGGGGGGATAACATTTGGTGGCTGACCATTCGTAAATCAAAAACTGACCAAGAAGGAAAAGGAGTCACCATTGCTTTCCGGCTAGAGGGCCAAGCTCTGATACTCTGGAGAGTATTTGAGAATTTCCTCCCCCCGAACCCGGAACATTTCATTTTCAGCAAAGAAGCCAATGGTCCGCAACCGAAGACTGATGCTGTATCTCGCAGGATCAAGAAGCTACTGCAGGAGGCCGGATTGCAAAGCAGAAGGCTCACCCCACATTCGTTCCGCAGGGGTGCAGCCACAGAAGCCATACGCGCAGGAAAGCATCCCGAGAACGTCATGCGAGCAGGCAGATGGAAGACGGCAGAAGCTTTCCAAGCCTACATCGACCCGACGCCCTTGTAAGCCTCATGTAACAAGACATCCCGCTGCCGAGCTGAGCTTTTCTTTGCATGTTACGTTCATATATTTCATCTCACCTTTTTTTGCACACATAGCAGTAGCTATCCCTTGCAGCTCAATCCGGTCACTTTTATTAGCATGTTGCCTTTTTCTGATAGCTGCCTTGATTATAGCAGTAATTTTCGTTGTTCCCTTTGTTTCGTCGAGATAGACATGAATCCACACGAGTGCCTTCATAGTTTTCCTTGCATCTATTCGAGTGTACAGATTTATTTGTCACGAACCGATTTGACCACATATTCAATGTCATACTATCATCGATTTTCAGTCGAGACTCAGGCCATCGTGCCGCTTTCTGCTTCTCGTTTGCCTACAATTCAGTATTCAATTGTATGTAGCACTTCTGGTAATCTTGGTATCTCGTTTCGAGCTTATGTGTACTCTGCAATAAGTTTTTCTGTGGATTTCGTTCTCACGTAGGTTAGGGTGTTAGTGTTTGGTCTGTTTTGACCGTATTGATTCGGTGTCATAGTTTATCTTGAGATCCAGGTCATGGGTCCTATTTTTCGCTACCTTTTTCATCTCCTGAGTAACGTAATTCGATGTTTCTTACGATTGCGATGGATCTCTGAGTTTCACCGCTCCTTGTTCCCTTTGTTCGCTGGATCTGAGAAAGCAGATTCTTTCTCAATATATTTAGTTATATATTTTCATTCCCAACATTTGGATGCGTTTTGTAATGTTTATCGCCATTGTTAATATTGTTACCATAATAGTGGTGCTTACTATGCAATTTTCGGGGCCTTGACCCCTTATGGATGTTAAATGTTGACGAATGAACCTTCTACCCGCCGGCGTTTTTGTTACTGCGAAATACAAAACTGAGGTTTTGCCGTAGTTACCGGAGGCAAAACTCAGATTTTTCCTACCATTCTGAAAAATCTTGCGACAAGAAACGAACTAAAATTGGATGTATAATACACTGCAGATAACAATCTTCATCGTGGCACACCGTATAGCCAAAGCTCAAATGTTCCAATTACAATTAATTTACTCATCATTTTCAGCACTCACTACAGGCTGAAAACGAAACTGGGAAAGTCAAAAAAGTGATTTTTAGGAGGCTAGCTATGTAATGGCATTAGTATAGCTTATTGATGACAGAAATTCGCGAATATTAGATATGTGAGAGTAGGAGTATGAAGGGCCTATGTAAAATCTTACTGATTAGCAGCTATTCAATTTGTTATAAAGTTGTATTTACATCTCAAAACGAAGTTATCTTCAGCCAAGCTAGTCTGAAAGTTAAATGCTTGCCACTGTGCTTGTCAGCAAAGTTTCTGTCCAGATTTCGATCGAAAAAATGTTCTCCCGTGAGACGAACGGGGACGCAACGCAATAAGCTTACAGGCATATAAATCAACCAATGGGTACGGCTAAGCAGACTAACCTCTCATCGTCGTAGGAGGACTCGATGTTGTTACCTGTGGAACAGTTGTAGATGTGGTCGATGTACCTGGTGTGCGTGTCTGGAAAGGACCTGCAAGAAAAAAAAAATGAGAACCAATAACCAGCAACCCTTGTGAACTTCACCTTGCGGAACATCCTTAAATAGAACGCATGCTGTTTCACAAGACCTTGAAATATCGAAGCAACCGTACGGGACCTCTTCGCACTTGTTGCTTGTTAAATTATAGTGTATCCTACAAAGAATGAATTCTAATTTTGCGAAGATGACCAGAGCTATACAAAGAATTCTTCTAACGCTTACTTGCCAGTACATCCTCTCATTATTCTTTCCTTTACCGTCAAGAAACATTTTGGTGACCGGACTGAATTTCGATAATATAAACTCATTAGAAATCTCCTTGTAAGAATGAACGAACATTTTGTTGTGGTTGATTCTGGCTTCAATGGTGTCGTTAATTCTGGCACTGGTGTTGTTGCTTCAGGCGTTGTCGGAGTTCTTTCTAAAAAGTCCAAGTTAATTTCAGTTTTGTCGATAGAAAATGATGAAATCATCATTGTTGTGTGCATGGTGTATCAATTCTCATAAAAATCTTGCAGCACACTGCATCAAAAGCTAAAAAGTAATGTCTATCTCTCAAAGATTGTCGCTTTTAATTTAAGCCGACTCGTTGTTTTTATCTTCAAATACTTTTGCTGCTGAGCTAAGATGGAATAACTAACGGTGAAATAAATTTTACGTTTGAACGATCAAAAAAGCTTCTCAGAGAAGAACAAGCATTACCCTGCATTCATCACTGAGCTTATAGATGTGTTATACTGACAAGAAAAGGATGTTTGAGAGGAGCGGCCTTTTTAGATAAGATGCATACCATTTTGGAAGGCATAAAATGCTGATTCCAAATTTGCCTTCCCTATCTGCGGGCGCTTCTGGACGAGAAGTTATGAGTTTTTATCAACGAAAAATTGAACAGTGTACCTAGATAAAATTGCTCGTATTATTCTTCCTAGGCCTCAAATGCAGCAGTGATAATTGTCAGGTCACTCCGTGCATAAATAGTTTAAGTATAGCCTCATTTCCCGCTGCCTTATTTAAAATGAAAAATTTTCCACGACTAATTTTTTCTATTAGAGTGATCCAAAAGCAACGAGGCACCTTTTTTAGGCATTTTGAAGTATCTTGTCAACTATGAGTAACCAGAATTTGAACGCATTTGAATAAAGCATTTTTGCAGGTTATCTCAACAGCCCCTTGTAGCACTTCACCCACTGCCTTTCGAATGACGCTTTGAAAAAGTCAAACAGATTTTTTTCAACGTTATCCGAAAGTGTGTTGCTGTATCCCAAAGTTCGACATATGAAATATCACCCGAAAAAGCTTTCCAGCTCTTCTCGATGATCACTTGAATGTACAAATTCTTCATTATTTCGTATGTAGGAGGCATCTTCCATAAAAAGTTCGGTGCTTGGCGCAGATTTCCAGGCTAAAGTCATGTTTTGGTACACAATCTTCTAAAAATGAGAAGAGTCGCTGTAGACTGCATATGTGTAAATAGAGCATAAAAAGCTCCAACCCTCGATACATAGAGGTGTGTACTCTGGTAACCTGCACTTTGAGCAACATGAATGAAACAAACATCCGGGGTTAACAAGGGAATGGTCAGAAGTCGAAGTGGCCAAACCAAAAAAGCTGTATATCATTCGATGCAGTTTAAAACGCTAACTTCGAATCTGTCTTCCTTACCTGCTTATCGCTTCTGTGGACGAAACTACAAGCGGTTTTATTGTGAAAAAAATATACATAAAAACAGCGAAATTGAGCACATCACTTTTAGCTCAGATTCTGGCTTTAAAAATTTGAAGTAAACCAACTGCATGTTTTGGCACAGCATTACGGCATACGTGGCTCTGTACGGCTGAATTTTCAATTTTACGCATACTTTCTTAGCAAAATAGGTCTTTAATGGCTTATAGCTTCGTCCAGAAAAGCGATAAGCAGGTAAGAAAGACAGATTTAGAGTCAACGCTCCATGCTGCATCTAATGCTATGCAGCTTGTTTGGATTGGCCACTTCGATTTCTGACCATTCCCTTGTAAGTCCCGAATGTCAACACCATAACTATAATATATCGGAATGAATATGAATGATACTAGTGGGGGTAATACCCCAAAAACTATCAAATCAAAACCGAAATTTTGCGCTTTTATAGCCTTTTTAGGCTATAAGGAAGGTTTTGTGAGATTTCTTCCCAAAATTCAAGACTTCAATCCTCACTTAACCTTTTCATAAAAAAGATTGAGATTTGGAAGTTCTAGCTGTTGGAGCTCAATAAAAACGAGAACCTAAATTTTCTCGGTGATGAGTGACTTTCAATGCTTGCAACGTTGCCAGTGCTTCCAATCGTTTCATGACGTTCAGAAAATATATAATGTTGCAGGATTTTGTTGAAACCCCGAGGAGATCTACAACCAGAGCCAAATGCTCCGTTTCTCTGGACTTTCTCCTCTGCTCGTCTTCGTCTCCGCGCATTGCGCGCTACCTCGCTACTCCAAACGCTGTGTACAGAGCATTTGGCTCCACCCCTCTTTTCTTCGTTATTCTGTGTCCCACTCTGGCAAGCTGCACATCATTTTAAAGCTCTTGATCTCTACTTTCACCTGATGACGTAGCAAAACCCCGCATTTGACTTGAACGAAGAATCTGGTGAGAACCATGTTCTCGAAAATTTTCTTGTTTTTTCTCCTGTTTGACTCTTTATGCGAGTTTTTTTCGTGCATTCGATAGATCTTGCTTCTGCTTCTAATGTAGACAACGTAGCAGATTTTACTTCTCGATTACAGCGATTTTTGTGAAAAATTGTAAAAAGTGCGTTCGTCTACCTTTTTCCCTCCTAGTGTTTTAGTAGCAATTTTTCCAACTTGGGCGATTATTGTTTAGAATAATGAGGGCAACAATCTTGAAAACGTCCCACGAAACAACGTCAATGCGGAAGTGATCAGAAAACGCATCAAAAAACTGGATTTGGCTTTGACATGCATTTGACTTGATAAAAAGGATACTCCGCTTTCATAAATAATTGCATTGTTATTCTTGTAACAATCACAAGGAAGAAAATAGTCTTTTCTCGTTTTTCCCCGTGTTGTGGATTGCCTGGTCCTAGGGAAAACCTTCACCTCGAAATGCCGCCAAACGAAAAATTTCAGACTGCGTTTTTATTTTCTTTCTAAAAATAAGAGTTTTCTTTGCTTTTGCTATCTATTTTGCATCTTTCTTTCTTCTCTGAGTTTCTATAATACAAAGAACCTTCACTTTTTATGAGGGGAAGAACAACTTTCACTTTTAACGCCCTGTCTCTAAACTATGTAAGGTATGGTGAGCTCATTTAATTATCTTGATGAGAGAACCAGTAATGTGTCTAAATACCCTACGCTATATTCTCTCTTTCGAAGCGTTGGGACCATTAGGCTTTCGTGGGTTTAGTGACAGTCCCTCACCCATTACTGCGCAGATATCTTGACTCACTTATTTTTTTGCGGCGGTGCTGCTCCAACTTTTAAAATTACTTGAAGTGATGATATTTGATCGAGCGCTTATAAAAGCAACGCTATGTGATAGTGCCCATTAGTGCCCATCTACAGATCTAGGTTAGAGGTTTTATTATGTACTAATCTTTGCTAGAACCTAGAGTTCCAATAAGATTTTGTTTAAGAAAACTGCATTCATTCTCTAGGTGCCCATTACTTTTGTATCACCTCAATAGTTGCTCCTTCTACTTTTTTGCACATACAAACCCTCACAACTCCTCTCCCAGGATCTTTTCGCAGATAAGGAAGGCATTGAAATCAGCGCTTCGTCGGCCATGACGGTGTGCATTTCATCTCGAAAAACCACTTCGACCACACATCCTTCTCTTGTAGAACTGTAGTGTTATACTAAATGTTATACTTGCCATACTTTCGCGACTTGTCTCCCATACCGAAAGTGTTTGATAGAGAAAAACGAGAAAAAGTTGGATTTGGAGAGAGCTTTTCTGATGTATTTAAGTCATTTCACCTACAATCGGTGAGAACATCTTGGATTTTATTTAATTACACTCATATCAAACCTAATATTTTTGATCTAGCCTTTTTTGTTAACTTTGAAACATGATTGAACGGAATTCAAATTAACTTTGCAAAATAAACTCTAGAAAGCGGAGTACAATACTTTTACTACAATACTTTTCTTACCATATGCCAAGAATGATGCGAAAATGTGATATTATCAGTGATAAATGATAAAATGCTTATATCTGTGATAAGGATAAATAAAAACTGCCCAATTTTTCGCGATAGTTTTCGATAGTGAGAACTTCGTACCAGGATCACCTATTCGCGATTTACACTGTGATAGATGTTCACAAAAGCCTTAACATAGAAAGTAACAAGGTACCACCATATGTCTACCGTGTCACTATGAACTGCGGACATATTGTATACTAGAAGATTCGTCTCATCAAGCTGAAGCCAAATCTTCCCGCAGAATACATATAAAGCTGCTTTGAAAGAAGTTATAGCTAAATCCCGCTTATCCCGCAAATCCCGCGAATCCCGCAAATCCCGTGAAGTCGCAAATCTCGCGAATCCCGCGAATCCCGACAATCCCGCGAATCCCGAAAATCCCGCAGTTTTGGACAAATTCTACCGCTGCAACTGTACGTCGACTATCAACGCTAGAAGTTGATGAATAGCTATATCGATTTATTGATTTTTCGCGTTTTCTGCTTAGCACTTCTTTTATAACCGCCTAAAATGTTAGAAAAAGTCATGGGATCTCAACAAAAATTGATGAGTATAAACCAATCACCCATTATCGCTGCAATTAATGATTGGGTTTTTGATTTATTGATTCTTTGAGTGCAGCTTATGTTCTTTAATTCAAAAGACTGAATTATACATATTAGTACTAACCTGGACAACCGTAAATGCAAGCCAAATACGACCCATAGTAAAATTTATCATACACGCACATCCAACTGGAATAAAACTCAAATGGGCCTGTACAGAAGAAAAAAAGACATAACTTACACCAATCTCTTTTGAGGTCTGTATACCTGGATGCATTGCGTAGCTCCTAAAAACATACTAGGTCGTTCAAAAGTTTTTTTTTGTTTTCGCACCATCAAATTTGAACTAGTCCAGCTTTTTCAGATCCGACCTTTTTCCACTAAATAAACTTCAGTTTGTTCAGCATGTTTCTGTCTACACTACTACAGTGCTCTTACGCTTTTATCTTGCGAAATAAGATCACATCAATAGAATCATTGAGGCTTAAAATGACGCATTTTTTTGGCCCCATTATTTTTTAATAGGCAGCACAGAACTAGGAAATTTGGTCACTGATGAAGAAAGGTCTAAAGAGGTCGAATAATGAACAGGAACCTCGGTGCCCTCTTACCTTTTGTGAGAACCACCTTTCTTACATGCATTTTGGAGGCATCATGTGCGAAGGTGGCACATAGTTATGTGTGCAATGAAAACGGTCTTCAGACCGATATCACACTACTTTACTCTGATTTTACAAGCACATCTAAGCAAGTTTATACTGGCAGTCATTAGTGTTTCGATTAACTTTTTTGCAATGCTCGAAAACTCTCAAAATAGAGCTCGCGGCAGACTTCAAGATGATTTTCTGATTTTTTACACACAGAGAGTGCAGTTTGCAACGAATAAGATTTGATGATACATTGTAAGACGACGTTAGCGTAGATGTACGACTAAGTAAGAATGAAAATGCGTTAACCTGCCACGGGATGGGAGGCCAATGCAAGAATTTTATGTCTTTATCCTCTATTACGTTAAGATGGGTAATTTTTTCAGTGAATGCAAACTTGACCGTCGGCTTTCGTTGTTTCTTCTATCTGTTCTGTAGTCATGAAAGTAGCTGTTGAAGAAACATTATACCTCATGGCCAGGGCTCAGCACAGGTGGCTTATAAGCAAGCTGGATATCTGGGATAAGAGGGTTTCGTTTTTGTGGCCAAAAAGACACAAAATTGTAACGTTTTTTTGCTCGAAGTTCCTTTTTTGGAGGTTTTTTAAGGGATTATGGCCTAGGGTCAAAGGGAACTTCGTAAAAATTTGCAAAAGGCAAGGGGGATCTTCGTTTTTTGCATTCTCGACTAGCCAACTCGTGCCGAGCTCTGTCCATGACCCGTGTATTGATATAAATGTTGCCTTCAATGAGCAATATATGTTTCACGATACCAACCTGTTGTTGTTCCTGATGTGAAAGTAGTTGTGCTTGTGCTCGTCGCATCAGTGGTAGATGTAACAGTTGTAGTCTCTTTGGTACTCGGCGATGATGTTGCTGAAATATCTCACCTTGGCTGCCGTTAAGTGCGAGGTGTTGCTCATTAACTTTCCAAAGGGTAAAGGGATGAAAGATTTGACGTCTTCAATACCCACCTAACGCACTCTACTTCATAGTCGAAGAGGCCAATGAATGCGTGCGGGCAGTGTTACAGTGACTTGCGCAGGCCAGCCAAATATCAGGTTAGTGCTTTTATCCTCCCAGATTACTCTGGTACGAATTTATCAACCCCGGAGGGTAGAGGGCTTGGTTGGCCCAGGGGTGGGATCGAACTTCGCTCCGATCTAGTTACAGCGGTGCCTCATACCACTAAGCCACTCGCTCCTTTCCCCTGTCTAATAAGCATCTTAAGCCTCCAAAAAAGCAGAATACTTAAATTTTGACTGCGCGACTTTCACTTACTTCAGGCCAGGGGTACCAGCTTTCACGAGAAAGAAGGGGTTTCTCGACTTATAACTTTTTAGTTATTAACAGCTACGATTGAGATTAAGCTCGATATGAAAGTGGCAAAGTAAGCAGATAACAGGAAACAATTTATGCTATGGCCTTGTCTTCAATTCTAAAATATGCAATCGTGAAAACGACTTTGGACAATATTGCATATGGCAAAACCTTTGCAGAGTGTATTACAGAGATGGTTTCATCAATCCGTGCGTGAGGCTACCATATTTCGTGGATTTTCCGCTGCATTTCGACAAAGCAGTCAATTTCAGTAAAATCACCCATACCATTCAAAAATTTGGATGTTCAAAAATCAAGAATTTTTGGGTAAAATAAAAGATTGAAATGAGGTCTTTGAAAAGTTCGGGTGTTTAAAATAGCGCAATTGTATTGTTTTCGAAATTTTATTTGGCTGAGACGCGCGACTGAGAATGGTTTCCATAGCCCGATATTGCCAGAGAAAATACGAGAAGGTTGGCGAGCTTGTACGGAGCCATTCAAAAGATCAACAAAATTCATTCTCAAACTGTATTAAAAGTTTTGATTGTGACAGCGCGCTAACTCGATTTCACTAACCCATGATGACGACGCCTAGTGTTGGTGCTGTGGAACGACGCGAATTTGCACAACGCTTTCGGTGTGGAAAGGATTTGTGGTTATTTACGAAAAGTAAGGTTGTTTTGCAAACAATTATAAATATTAGTCTACAGGCCCCAAAAGTGTAAAAAAATTAGAACAAATACTAGTATGTGGTAACCAGTGGCGTACCCAAGATTTCGGCTCGGGGGGGGGCAACAAAAAATTTTTTCTGATGAAGGTGCGTGGCATTAGCCACGCACTCAGAAAAATTTTTGGTATAAAATTTCCGCGGGCCCAGAACCCCGAAATTCTAGAAAAAGGGGGCGTGGCGTCAGCCATGCCCCCGAAAAAAATTTTTTTATAAGGCTAAATTGAATTTTTAAAAATTTGAAAAAATTACTTCAATTATTTACAAGTGCAGACAAGTCATTTGCACAATTTTATAACCCATGTAAATAACTTTCAAAAATTTCGCCCCCCCCCCCCGCCTCCCCCTCGGTACGCCACTGGTGGAAACTACTGGACCTACAAACAACATGACTTTGCAAGAGGTGTAGGCTACCGATGGCCACATCCGTGGCAGCAAGAAGTGCGTGGGCCACCGGTGGTACACATCGTCGTCAATGGATTAATAAAATTCTTTGACTCCCCCTTGGGAGGTCTTTTCTTGGCGAATAAATTGAGAATCTTGCAAGAATTCAATAAGACCGTCAATTACAAACCTTGACACTTCATTAGACACTCATCAAGCGAGTCGTATAGCTCTCCGATCGGGCCAAATTTGCACTTGAACCGCCCCCTAAAAATCGAAGTAGCAATACCGTGAGTAGAGGGCAATATCGACTAATTGTTCACTCACAAATAATACAGCGCTCCGGCATAGAAAGCACTTTCCTCAGTGCATAAGCTTGGATCTGAAACTAAGGATCTGAAGTTACACCCAGAGTTAATATTTTCTTAAAAAAGTTCTAAAAATCTTTAGAAATTTTATGAGGTAACACGGGTTATTATGAAAGTGCTGTGAACGAGTGGCTACCTCGATTTTGTCGTTGCCCGCTGTGTAACTCTTGTAAGTTTTTGAATCTACAGTCTTTTTTCTTTTGAGGCTTGCTAGTGCTGTTATACAAAGCTAACGCGCAAGCAAAACTAAAGATTTGGATTGGTGTGCGTGCAAATGTCGGGCGACCGTGTGGCCATTCATAGCTTTTCTATAGAATTAGGTGGGTTTTCCCGTAATTTTTATTCGACATGAGTTTTAGGGAACCATTTTTGGCATTTAGGTCAGCGTACTACGAATACAGGTATTGTTTGCTGAAATCAGCCATCGCATGTGAGGTTTACGATACGTAACCCTTGATTCATTGGGAGTGGAGGGTTAAAGGCTACCGCTCAAACCCGCGAGCAACCCGCGGCGCAGTCTGCGTCTCTCTCGCGAGCGTCGCCTTTTCGCTCATTCTCTAGCCTTAATTAGGCCTTAAAGCCCCGCCTGCTAGCCTCCATTCCCGTTGAATCAAAAGGTGCAGGGAGAGCAATCTATAAAGGGGCAGATATGCCGCAGTTCGGATCAAGAGTTTGGTGAAACTTGGTCTGTGAGGTTATCCGAAATTATGATCACGAAAATAATATTCATTTTGCGTAATAGGCCTGTTCATGTAAAGCTATCAAATTTTCAATTTTCATGCTCAGCAACTGAATATGTTATTCTGTCAGCAGGTCAAATCGTTATGCAAAGTCTCGGCAGAAACTGACGGTCCGGATTTGTTTGTTATATTCTTCGTTTCAAATTTCAAAAGGAAACCTTGCTCTTAGTTTTGAATTTCGTTTATGAAACGGATAATCGCTCAAATTTCCTTATTGTGGTACTTAACTCTTACTCCCGGGAGTAAGAGTCATTTTTGTGTATAGAAAAGTTTTGAGTCACACTCTCGCTGACTTACGTTTCCAAGAACATTGACGTGCGTAGAAGCCACCATCTAGATTTTAGTAGATTTTTGGTACAGAGGTTAAGTAAAAAAAAGTCAATCGCTGAAATTTCCTATTAGAATCGAACAGTATAACAAGTTGGTTATTTGCTTCATATGAAATGCGTGATGCGTCAGGAGGGGTAGGGGAAGACGGCCGCATTCTGTTCGGACAGAGTTATGCCCACGCTTTTGAAAAATGTATCCTGTACGGCCAGTTTGAATAAAATTCAGTAAAATATTTCCTTTGCTTTTTTATTTCAAGAATACAGCCTGCCCGTGTGCATCCGTGCCGAGCTCTATAATGATTCCGTTTCCGTCCTGATGCTTTGCATGAATTACCCATCGTGTTTATGCTGTATTTCTCCATTCATAGCAAAATGTTAATCACACTGATACTTGAAAGTCATTTTCAGATTGTAGGAGGGGACAGGGACAAAGCTATTTATTTAGAAGAGAAAGCATATTCTGTTTAGACTTGTATCTTAGCGTTGTTAAGTAAATACTACTTACTATTATAGAGCAAAACTTACCTTTACCCCTTGTCGTAGAAGTAGGAACCGACGTCGTTGAATCTGCAGATGTCGATGTACGCGACCATGGTGGTTGAACCTTTGTTCGCTGGCCTGAAGAGCGAAAAAATTCAATCAGGTGAATCTGAGTCAATCACTTTTTATTTCTAGATTACTGAAAAAATTTGTCTAAATTATAATTTCTTCTATTTCGCCAACATACTGCAACCGCAGCAGCACATAGAGCAAAACGAACCCATATCATCCTGTGTTGTTGAACTGGGTGTAGATATCGACGTTGTTGTGGAATCGGTAGAAGTCGAAGTACGCAGCGATGGTGGTTGCACTCTGGTATGCTGGCCTGAAATGGGCGATAGTTACTGCTCTAAGTTATGTTTTAGCCTATCACATATAGTTTTTGGACCAACTAGTTTTTGCTTCCCTCACTTTATGCCTAGTACGCCCGTTACCGTAGGTAATGCAAGACCAACCCATATCATGTGGTGTTGTCGAACTGCGAGTAGAAGTAGACCTCGTTGTTGATTCTGCTGAAGTACTTGAAATTCTTGGTGGCACTGTTTTCTGCTCTAAAATGAGAAGTTATGAGCATGAGCCTATCACTTCTTACTTCTAAATTAGAAATTGCTTATGTGCTCGTGTTTAGGCTTTACGGTGGAAGCTGCAACTGTTATCCTTCTACTCTTCATGAACTAGAGCCTACCCATATCATGAGGTGTCGTTGAAGTGGAAGTGGAAGCAGAAGTTGTTGTTGATTCTGTTGAAGTACTTGAAATTCTTGGTGGCACTGTTTTCTGATCTAAAATGCGAAATTATATAAACTGCGCTTCTCTCTTTTTATTGCTGAATCAGAAATCGTTTATCTGCTTTTTGTTTCACCTTACTTTCATAACTGCGACTTCTACTCCTCATGAAGAAAACCTACCCATATCATGCGGGGTTGTCGATGTGGGAGTAGATGCAGACTTTGTGGTTGATCCTGTTGAAGTACTCGAGAGTTTTGGTGGCACTGTTTTTTGGTCTAAAATGAGAGGCAAGATACGGAAATTTTTGAACTTTAATTTCGACTTCTTTCTTCTTCTTATGTTGCTTCCGGTGCACCTTGTGTGAATTTTGAGTGAGTAATCAAATAAATAAGTAAATGCATGACTTTCTTGATCCTGGTTAGGTATAAAGTCCCTTATCTATCTACGTTCCGCTCCTCTCCCTTCTTTTGACACAAATGCTGAGACCGCTAATCTTCATCAGTAAAACCCACCCATATCATGCGGTGTGGTCGAGGTAACACTAGAAGCAGACGTCGTAGTTGTTTCTGAGGAAGTACTTGGGACTTGTGGTGGCACAGTTTTCTGGCCTAAAATAAGAAATTGAAAACGTTTTTTGTTTTTGGATTAAAGAATTTATATGTGACTTGTAAGCCTTTTTGTTGAATTCGACAGTCATTATAAAACGCCCTACTCATAAAGTAAACGAACCCATATCATCCGATGTCGTCGTTGTAGGAGTGGAAGCAGAAGTTGTCGTCGATGTTGAGAATGTAGTAGTCGTTGTCGATGTTGGGAATGTAGGAGTAGAAGACGAAGTAGTTGTTAGTTCTGTTGATATAGCAAGAGTACAAGCAAATGTTGTTGAAAATGTACTAGTAATAATCCCTATTAGGGAGAACAGATCATTTACAAGATATGATTGCATGGTAAGCGCAGCCATTTGTGCTAGGTGCACATTCGGTTCTCGGAAGGTAGGTTGAAACATATTTTCACCAAAAACCCCAGAAAATCCATTTGAAAATGCTCAGAGCAGCGTTTCAAATTAGTACTACGTCTCAATCTAGTGTATAGTATTATACTCTTTTAATATGCAGTAAGCTGTTTCTTATCGTACACATTAGAGATTTTCTTTCAAACTACCAAAACTCGCAAGTAAAAATTCGAAAATTACAATTTTCTTGTAGAAACGTTCTGTCGGCACAACTTTATCTTACTTGAAAAGCATAAGTCATAAAATTCAAATAAGAAGTTAATCCAAAAATTTTTTGGGTCTCGCAGCATTTTTGGAGATTGAAAGTTGGCAGGAATTTTGAGTTTTTGCAATCGACGGGTTCTGTTGGTGCGTTATGACAAGGGCAATTCTTGGGAATACTTGGAAAGAGTAATTTTTCCATTACTAATATCATTCCAAACAGATTCATCGAACCTGGAGGATATCATGGAATTCTGAAAATTTTTCTTGCAAGACTTATGTTCCGACCATATAGTAATGATGGATGCTGAAAAGGATAGTACTTGTACTTGGTACTTACAAAAAGTACTTGTTAGTGCAACTTGTTACATGTACAGGTTTTTAGAGCTCTTTTAAAGGCAGCGTCCAGGCAGATCTGGGCCCATGGGGAATTTATGTGGAAAGTACTTTTGGGGCCCTAACAAAGACACTGCCCAAGCGGCAGCTCAGGTAGTGCTCTGACGGCTGAGATATCCTCAAAACTGAACCCGGCGGTCGTATTCGCATGGATTCATGACAGTTTCGCGCCAAGATCCACGCTTTGCGCCATGAAACCATGCGGAATACGATCGCGAGATCCATTTTCGAAGGGAATATCTCAACCGTTAGAGCACTACCTGAGCTGCAGGTTGGGCAGTAGCTTAGTTAGGGCCCTAAAATTATTACCCACGTGAGATCCCCATGTGTCCAGACTTGCCTGGACGCTGCATTTAAGGAAAAGATATAGTGACTAAAAGAAGCACTGCCAAACAAGCACTCATTGCAGAGCAGCGGCAGACTGAGAAGAAGGGGAGGGGGAGATGGGGCGCTCGCGCATCGCGAACTTCTTGGAAGTTACTTGCATGAGTTATAAAAATATGCAAGTGACTTATTTATACCTGTGACTAATCAAAAAATTTCAAAACGTTTTGCCCACTTTAACTTTCCGTATCCTCGCCCCCCCCCCCCGCCGAAAATCCTGGAACCATCACTGTTGCACAATATTCTCAGCATTACAACAGGAAACTTGAAGGATGAACCTTTTCAACCGCGCTGTCAGAGTTTTTTTAAGAAAAGCAATTAATGAAAAAAATTCATTGAAAAATGATTGCAGTTAGAAGGCATGAATGCCCATCAACCGACGCACATTACAACAACCCCTATGTCGACAATTTTTGTCGAGTAAAATCTGTAGCCATTACTAACCTTGGCATTTTGAGACGCAAGACTCCTGCAAAAAGTAGACACGTTTGTCGCGTATGCACTGCCACCGTCTAAACACGCTCATGAGTAGAAAAACAGCGGAGCACGTCTTTTATAAACTTACTCATTACTCAATTCATAACGTGTACATACAGTACCCAGATCTGAAATTTGGATTAGGGTTGAGTGTACAAATAGCAATGTATTCTACGTAAAAGATCAACCACAGTCGTATTATTGACTGTTAAAATTCAGATAGAGATGGAACAGTGCAGACATTTGTTGACACTAATAAGCACTAAAAAAATCACTTTTTCAGCTTTCTCGCCATTAAAAACATATGCTTTGAGCTGCCACTTCTCCGCTTCTATTGAGTTGATGCAAAAATAACGGCCGTTTTGCGAATTCTCACTTTGACGTGCTATAACTTTTTGAAAGATCCACATTTCCGAAAGCGGTAACAATTATCAGAAGCAGCAAACCTTCTGCAATACAGCGCACATTTAGTATATTCACATCACGAACTGGCAGAAAAATGTGGTTCGAAATCAAAAAAGGTTTTTTCTCGAACCTTGTTTTTGACAATTCATAACTTTCTTCAAAGTTCGTTAGTACGAATGATAAGTAACCCATCTTGTAGCCGCAAGCCAGTAGTACGAAACGCAATAAAAAGAATTCGGACAGAACAGTTTGCGAAAAAGGAAAAAATTAAAATTTAAAATTTTTCATTTTTTCAAAATTTTTTGCCTAATGTAGACAGTTTCTCTTACATACAACAATTGAATTTTCGAACAAGTGCCATTAATATGCGCTTATATGGATGGAAAAGTGGATGCAATGAATTTCTGAATTTGGATGCGGTTATTTGAAGCTCAGTAACTTTATAACAGATAATAATGGAAGCCCCTTTTAAATAACATTAGACAGAACATGAGCTTTTCTATGTTGCACTACAACTATTTTCAAGAAGAAGTATTGATGGAAAAAAGTTGCACTAAAAAAGGTTTGAAAAAAGGCTTGAAGGCAGATTATTTTTGCACCAACCTAATATATAGCAAGTTGTTGAATTGTTTCTGTCACACTTTTTTGTAAAATTTTGAAAAATTCGGAAGCCCTCTAGAATATCTGAATTTGCTCCATATGTACGACAAGAAAGCGTACACAGCAGTATGTTTGATGCCGCAAATACACAAATATCTAGCAAATTCACGACAGGTTTGTAACCACATCTCCTCCTATAATTTTGTTAAACGTATTTTGGCATTGTCTCTTTTATGGACGTACTTTGGTGTGCCGCTAGCATGTCAAAAACGGAGAGCGAAAAAAAGAAAAGAATTGAAAGTTTGTCGAAAATGTTTACTTTTGTGTGCATATTATAAAATTGATAAGGAGAGGTCGAAAATAATTTTTGTAAATTTTCTAAGTCTTTCGCAAGTCGTAGTTTGAGTCGCAAAAAGAACCTAAGTTGAGAGTGAGTTGTTAATTTCGATTTTTCTCCTTCCTCAAGGTTATGTTGTTATGTTGTAGTGCATAAACAATCATTTGAAATTTTCATAACCACTATACTCTAAACAATGTAAAACTAGGGGAATAAAATGCCCACAACTCTCGACAGAAGCGTTGTACAGGAAGGTTGTTAAGAATCAGCGTCTCAAGCTGCTTTAGATAATACCTATACCATGTTGAAAGGCTACTACAGCTCTTTATACTTTCCTTATCAGAACTTCAAGATGCACGAAGGTTCAGAATAAGCGCGGAATTCGCCAGCTACCATTTAGTAATGCAGAGTAAAAAAGTGAGGAAGGAGAAGTGCATGTTTTTAAGCTTCTTTCAAATACTATAAAAACGGCACTTATTTCCTTGCAAAACCATTCTGAATGTGTAAAAACACTAACCTTTGCAGCCCAGTTTACAAGCCTCTGATGTACCGAAAAATCTATATCCACATCGGAAGTATCTGGAAAGATTTTATATACATACGGTCGAATAATGCTAATCGACTTTTTGAACTTACGTGATATTCTGGGTGTCAAGAAATTTGCATATTGCAGAATCTGAACGAAAATTACTTTTTTGATAGATGTGTGCAGTTCTAATGGTTTTCGAGTACAAAAATCATGTAATAAGGATCGTATCTGCCTATTCTTTACAGAAATTCTGCTTCAGTATCTCAAAAAGCGTTGGTGACTACGCGTGAACTAAAGTTTTTGCTACTTTCGGTCATCTGACTGAATAAGGCCGTTTGTTTGTACATGGCTTATCAACTGCTGTGTCGGGAGCACCAGCATTGCTCCCGCGCGTCCGCTTCTCCTGGACTCCGCAGCTCTTCGCGAACATGCTCTCTGTTTACTTTCTCACCGTGAGCATGAAAAAGGCGGAGCCTCAGTCGATTGGATAAGATTACAGAGCAGGTTCGCGGAAGAGGTGCAGGAGAGGCGATGCTGGTGCGCCCGACACTGCAATTGATAAACCCTGTATGTCTGTGTGTCTGTCTGTGTTACGTAAGTTCCGAATAGAAAATTCCATTTCTGAACCGGTCCAAACAAACTTTGCTCACATACACTTCGGGGAGGGGCGGGTGTCGTAGACCACTTTTCGCCATTGATCGATATCAATTTTATTGATTTTTTGTAAAGTTTCACTTACGGAGGTGGGAGCTACCACAGGGGGGGGGGTAAGTTAGCATGCTGATTACGAAGATTTCAATAGGCCAGCAGGGGTGAGGTTTGCTAGCTAGCTTCCAGATATTTAGATTGATTTTTGGAGTTTGTTAATATAGACTGGAAGAAAAATTACCAAAAAAGGCGGAGACTTGTCGCAAAGCGAATCAAACTTATATTTTGCAGTAATGCATTACGATAAATTCAGGGTGCCACATAAAGTGTGGTGCAAGAACAAATCGTGACTTTGCAAAGACTATATAAAATCAAAAAATTTTGTATTTAGCTGCTATTCAGTTGCTCATCGAACTTGATGTGAGCCACATTTGGAAAAAAACAACGTTCGGCCTTACGATTCTCCCTGTCTTGTTCTTACGAATTCTCTTCCCTTCTGATTCGAGTAAAACGCGCTGTTCAAAACTTAGACCACTAGATTTGCTTAAAAGAGACCTAGGGAGAGCCTGGGACGAGATTCCGCCAAAGACCATGGCGTGCATCGTGAAGATTTCTCCAAACAGAATAAATCCTTTTATCAAGATTTCTCCAAAAGAATAAATCCTTTTATCAAAGTCGGAGATGGATATCTTGAAAGTAATTAATCTTATGCATGATTTTATCCTCTATCAAAAAACCAAAACAAACGCTTTGATTTTATTGAGTTTTTGCGAAGTTACGAAAGTGTTTGTGTGTGTTTGTTTGTCATGTCAGTGTCAGTGGCAGTGTCGTCTTTCTATGCAGAAAAATTCGAATATTGAAATCTCTTAAGAAATCATTTCATAAAACTCCAAAACGTCGCATATGTCGAAAAGCAGCGCATAGTCTACGTGCCGCTTTATTTCTGATATAGATCTTACGCAGAGTTTTAGA